CATCTTACATTGTCTGGAATTGCCTTCGAGCGGAAACTTCACAGTAGTCCCCAGTCACCGTTTAATTTCAGTAGCCTTCGAGAATGCCTGCCGGTCCCGTCGATTGCGTGAGTTTGCGTCGAGAATATCGAGTGTCGAGGTAAACGATAAGTAAATAAAAAAATGCCTATAATAATAATTTAAGCATTTCGGCGACGCTTTCTTTATGTATGTAAGCATGGCAAAAAAAGGTACAGTGTCACCCTCCACAGTGTGAAAATCTATTTCCTGTGACCGTTTATGTGGTGGTGCTCAGCACGAGTTAGAAAGACGCACTTTATTTCACCGGAGAAAATAGAACAAAGATTCGTGCATTTCCTTACCTCACCATGGCAAAAGTGAATCCTGCGGCCTAAAATTTCGTCATCGAATGGGTATCTCATACTCTGGGAGATTGTACGTACTGTAAAGCCGAGGAGGCCACCACCACCGTTGCTAATCTAATAGCGTTGGCCGCGGCAAAGCAACCGAGCTTACTCGTTTCTCTCCTAGTTGCCCGACGAAACTATGCACGAACGCGGAGCTTTAACGGCGCAGCGATGTCGCTCTCGATCGTTGCCGCAACGAGGCCGAGCCCGAGCCGCGCGTACAATGCGGTGCAAGGGCAGCTCTGGGGAAGGAAGGGAGGGAGACCCGAAAACAGCGGACTGCGCTCAGGATGGCGAAACGAACTAATGATTTTTTCTTTTTTTCCCGGGAAAAACACGCCGTAGTCGAACGCGGGAACGCGCGCTCGATGGCTTGTCGGCGTCGCATGCACTCGCTACAGTGAGCGCCGTTGCTGCCGTTGCTCCGAATGATCGCTCGTGCGAGGGTCCGGCATTTCGTCGGCCTCTTTGGCTGACCCCAATGGGGACGCGCAACCCTTTTGTTTTACGTATAGGTTTAGGGAACAATTGCAGAGGGCGGCGAGTGGTCGCGTCGCTTTTGGGAGCGTTCGGAAGGGCAGTAGGATTTTGTTTTTACGAGGAGTTCTGGCCTGTGGATGACATAATTTAAATAGGAATGCGTTGCTCCTATTAGGCGTTTACCATAAAAAGAAATTTTTCTATACTTTTTTTTAAGAGGTTAGGACAGGCGCGTCGGCCGCCGTGGCAATTGTCCTGGACTGTGGCACACTTTCAGTGATTGAATGAGGCTTTATTGACTTTATTGTAGCTCACGTCACTTTAAACCTTCAGCTATCCTCGGCCGTGCTCAGTGCGCGAAAAAAAAAGGGGGGCGGGGGGGGGGGGGGGGGCAGGGGCAAGAAACACATAGTTAGAAAGCAAAGCATTACAATATATGTTAGCGCTTTACATGAATGTGCGCGGTATAGCGCTGTTGAAGGCACGACACTCCATGCCGGCTTGTCCAACACTATGTCGTCGTGTACGGGGACGACGGTTATCACATGTTACGAACGACAGTGATGACACTGCTCAGACCCCTCAGATATTTTTGTTAAAGGGACGAGTGACGAGAGTTCGAAGGTTAGAGGACGTGTACTTAATGGACATTAACAAAAGGTATATTAATTACCCAACAAATAAACATTGCCGCGTGCACTGCGCAACATACAACTTTCTTTATTCTTTTCTTTTTTACTCTTGTATATTAAGCGTTGTCATCAAAACTACTAGTGTTGTGGAAAGTAGCGATTTGGGGCACTAACCTAAGGGGTAAAATTTGATGCCCGCCAGTACCCTTTCGAAGTAGAATGCAAAAATCAAAAAGTGGCAATACCGTGTTCGCGCTTATGGTGTCGCGCATTGTCCGTGCTAGGCAGTAAACTTCAGGGAATACAAAGGAAATCAAACAAAACGTTGCGACGCTTTTTAATGCTCAGATGTCGACGTTACACGTTTGTTTTCATAGGTGGAAGATTTACGTTAAACCCAAGAGCGAAAGATGGGAGCTGGACTCCGAAACGGGCAGACGTTTGGCTGGTCAAGTTGAGTCAGATCATCAAAGACACGTTGAGGCATTTTAACGGAATGTAAAATTACAAACACGAATCTGCGACAATTGAGATTCGTGATTGTGAATATTCCTTCGGGCCCTACTTCTTCTTTAAGTGAAAACGTCACTATGAAACCAGTTCGCCCGCGTGCTGGCTTTAGTTGCATTGAGACTTGCTCTAGAAAACACGCGATGCAAACGAAAGCTGAAGCGACTTAGGGGCCGTTTCCTCCAAGAAGCCTTATTATTTAATAAGATGCGAGGTTCCTGCGCATTCGCTAAAGCACGTCTGAGCTCAAAATACGCCAACAATTCACTTGCAAAGTGACGAGTCTGTGTTCTAAAAAAAGGTTTCTTCTCTTTCTTTTGCGCCTTTGCTTTCACCTCGATCAGTAACGAAAAACCAAGATCTCACTCTCAGTAAGTACTTCCTTGTGACATATCTTGTCGTTGTCTGTAACGCTTGGACGTTAATTGAACGTGAAACGTCAGACCTGGCCGTATACAACCTAATGGGTAGTTCGCAAGAATGTGCCAATATAAAAAAAAAAAAACAATTATAATCATATACCTTAATAATTTTATTTGCACCTGTACGAGTACATATCGACGCTCTTGTTTCGTACGAGAGTGATGTCAAATAGTCTAATACATCTTGATGTGCAGTACCTCGCAAAAAAAAACGGGATATTAAGAACGTACGCTTTCTCGGTTTTATTATTTTTTATCTTTTTCTATTGCTGCCGAAAACGCATCACAGCGATACCCAGTAAGTACCACGCCTTACTCATGAGGGAACACATACTACACCGGGTGTTGTTTCTGCGAATATTTAAAAAAATTCCTACAAATAAAATGGTCTAAAAAAAATTGCTACTCTTTTCGGGAACCAATTGCCAGCCACGGCGGACGTCAGGGATTGCAAACACAAACACACACACACACACATACACACACATTTGCAAAATAATTACCTAAAATTTGCTGAGTTTCTTTTTAATTAGTGAAAACAAACATATGGTTCCAATTACAAACCTCCTGAGCGTCGTCAAACTCCCCTAAATCAGTCAACCTTAGGAAGACTATGCTCCGCGACAACTTTTCTTGGCAATGCAGTGGAAGGTAGAGGCCCGCGTCCCCTCTCCCATTTTGAGTGTACGCAGGCTCTCCTCCTCCCCCATTTCCGGGGAGAGGAGGAGAGCCTGCGTACACTCAGAATGGGAGAATGGACGCGGGACGTACCTTCCACTGCATTGCCAAGAAAAGGAAGCGGGGGGAAGGGGGGGGTGCGCTGCGCTGACTTTCTCTCATGCAGCAGACGGAAGGTTGGCGTTGCGTAAACGCGCGTGATTCTCATGACGTCCGCGTTTAGCGTTTTTGCGCAACCTCTGACTGGCAGTTTGTTCCTGAAAGGAGGTTTTTTTTTCTCAATTATCTTGTTTGTAGAGATTTTTAAAAGCATTCGCAGAAACACCCGGTATACGATAAAACAAGGCGGATATACCATATACATACTGTGGCCGTTGTTTTGGCTGGTTCCGTGCGTGTAAATACTCGATGTTTTTTCGTTTGTTTCTTTGCATCTTGTATGCGTATCGTACCTTCCCCTTCGGGGCATGTCTTCCGTGCGTTGTCGTGCGTGTCTCCTGCGTACGCAGCGCGACGACTGTCCGTTGTCTTGCGCACGAATCCACGCGGATGAGAATCCTTGCGATTCTCAGCTTTGGGTCTGTCAATGGGTCACTCTTTGTGATCCAAGGACATGCGCGACGACTTCAAAAAAGACGAAGAAAGAAAGTAGATTACGGTCAACGCGGCGAACATATAAGTCGAGATTCTCCCTAATCTCCTAACGAACGTCATTACCTATTAGATTACGAACACTGGTGGTTTTCGTTTTGTACGTTGGTCTGGAATCCCTCCTTTTTGTGTTTCCGTCTGCTTGCTTAGAGAGACATATTTCTGCGCATTCCATCGTTAAAAGAAGAGACGTGTCAACAGTTATGCCGCCTTCTTCAACAAGGAACATCTCTAGGGTGTCTTGTGTGTCCTCAACACACTCTAAAAAAAGAAAATAATACAAAACGTGAGAGCCCCTTTAAACATGACTTTTGACCTTTCCTTTTTTTTTTTTTTTTTTGTACGAAACGTTTTATTTTGGTTTTCATCGCGCCGATAGGAAATATCCTAGTGCGCGGTTGTTTCCCGATGCCTCATTCTGGCCCGATGCATGCACATCGCTTACTTTTCGAGCAGTGCGCTTGTGTCTTGCTAGTGCTGCACGTCCTTCTGCGACCTTTTTCTTTCTTTTTTTCTTGCTGCATTTGATCGCTTACGCCTGCTGCTTTACAGCCTGCACGTTGTCTGACTGCCTCTGCCTCCGTGTGCCCGGTTGCGTGCGTGTGTATGTGCGTGTGATTTTTCCTACCACGTGTCTGGAAGTGTCTACAATGCTGCCTCTATGGGCAGGATTTTGTCGAGTTGCTTAGCCGTCGAGAACTTCTCTGGCATCTTGTAGATTCGATGAAAACGGGTTGGCTTTAAGCAACCGAAAAAAAAATATCGCTGTATACTTTTTTTTTTTTTTGTTTTAGTTTACAAGTTACAAGACGTGCCAAATGTAACACTTGGTAGTTTTTTTTTTTTTTAACTGAACAGTGAACTGAATTCGATTTCTAAATATTCTTACGTCATAACAATAATTTCCTAACTTTGTGCGCGTAGTATTTTTCAGTAACGTTGAATTCATAAATTACTTGTGTACAGATAGTTTAAGTGATAAGATGAATAATACATTTTAATGAAAAATATATCCAAGGATATAATTTTCACTTGTTATGATATAATTTTCACTTATCACACGAGCGCCTAAATTCAATCAAATCCGTTTTTTTTTTTTTTGTCGAAATATGTTTGTTCTTCTGTTCGTTTGAACTAACATCTGCATACAAGATATCTATCTCACTGTTTTTGTGCAAGTTGTAGTAGCTAATACGCTTTTGGCTCGGCGTTCGTTGCAGAGACGGAGTCGAGAAATGCCAGTCTTGGTCGACGAACACTACGCAGCAAATAGATCTAGCTCTCAATATATTCTTCATGGTCTATTTTTTTATACGTGTAAGTATGACTCTTGTACCTCGACATATCACGACGTAGAATTTGTGCACTTTATTAGCTTACAATCGATGCCGAGGTTGTTATTGTGCCCAGTTTATTGTTGAAAAAATACGGTATTTCGTTACACAGCCTAGTGCTTCAGCAGTGCTTAATTAACAGGTTTACAGCTTAATGGATGTAAAGGTTGATCCTGGAATTAGCACTCTTTCCAATGCAATCTTAAAAAAAAAAAAGACTAATTTTCCACATTAACTTTTTTTTTATTCCGTTTTCTTTTCTTTTTTTTTTTTTTTTCTGTGGCTCGAAATAACTTTTTCACTGAAAGCTTGAAGATGAGTTACTTTTCTTTTTTTTTCTTTTTTTGTTCAACGTAATAGATATCTTGATGTGAGCTTATCACATTTTTATTTAGAGCGTGCTAAAACCCGATATATTGGTTTCTGTTTTTAATGTTGTGTATAAGGGATGTGAACTTGGGGATAAGCAAGATCTGACTTTCCTAACACGTGTTTTATAGACGTGCAAGAAGCCTGATCTTATTGAACGCGAACTAACTATATGATACTGGTCGGTCGAAGTTTCGAAATTTTACGACTTTACGTTACGAAGATCAGAATCGTTTTACTGTCATTTAAACTGCGGTCGCGTGCAAGGGTCATTTATCAGTAAGGGTACTTTTTCCAGCATGAATGGTGGTACTATGTTGCTGTATGCACCATAACTTTTAGCAGACCATTATTTGTTTATCGCACAGCTCAACCGCCTTATCACCTCTTTTTTTTTTTTTAATTCACGCCGTAGAATGTTGTTTGCTTAAAACAAATTAAGACTAATTAAGCGTGCTGTTTTTTTTTTTTTCTTTTTTCCCTTGCAGTTCATTGCGGCCAGCGATAAGTTATGGTTCATGTTGGAGCTATATTCATTTGTTGATTACTTCACCATTCCGCCGTCCTTTGTTTCCATCTACTTGGATCGAACATGGATCGGTGAGTGCATTCTTTTCTCTCTTTTGGCTTTGGCGCGTCAGGCTATCCTCGGCTTACCCGCCAGCTGAGAGTGGGCTGGAAACAACGCGCTCGTTAAACCCGTCATGTGGGTCACGCTTCCGTCCATACTCAGACGCCTTTCATAGTCTGACCAGTAAGGTCACGTGACCAGTAAGGGAGGTAGTTGATTGGCCCGGCGTGCGCGTAGCTGCCACCACACTGTCAGCTTGGGGGTGAACAATTAAATTCCCCTTCCCCTATGGGTTTGTGTTCGGCTTCTCCGCAATTCAACCCTTCGTGAGGTGAAGTAGATTTGCGGAAGACAACGCGGCTGGAAGTTTGCTGTGCCTATGTGCCACGCTGGAAAGTGATTTCGTTAAAAAAGTTGTTAGCACGCGTTTTTAACGCTGGACTCCATGGGGCGAATATGCTGCGAAAATTCGACGTTCGTCAGTTTGTCGCATAATTCGCTCCATGGAGTTTACTGTGCGTGGCGTTGTCTGCTTTGTGTGATGGCGCGTTGTTTGATTGACTGGCTTTTAAAAAATTTTTGCTTTTTCCTCAAATTTTCTTTATACAGACTTGGTCTTCGCTACAAGCCTTTCTTTCTTTCTTGGGCGTCAAGAAAGAAGCGAGTCGTGCGCATAGATAGTACGCCGCGTGAAATGGTTGTTGCGTGATTTGGTAGTGAGAGGGGAAAAAATAACTTTTTTTTTTTTGCGTTTGAAACGTGTATATTTTGATGAAATAACAAATAAGTGATCCTAAATGCACGTGGGAATGTCTTAATCTACCGCGTAAAGGAGTAAATTGAAAATTAACCTTGAAGAACAAGTATTTTTTTTCACTGCGATTTTTGAGGTGAATGCAAGTGTTGGTCGAAAAATTGCAAACTCTTCTCGTTGACATGTCATATAATATATATCCTCCTTAGCGTCACCAACGAATGTGTTTGCGAGCAAACAGTAAAAACTGAAGGTGGCTTAGGTCGTCAGAATGCCATTGTTTTTATGTGGACACGTAGAGTTGCTTGTTTGCTACCTAATAAAATTCTGTCAGCAAGGCCGTGCCAAGATTCGATTGGACATGGATTCTCAGAAGCGCTCTGGGCCAGTTTTAGTGGTATGCAGACTGAGTAAAATTCAGGTCCATAGCTTTAGGGCGGCTGCAGGTTTTAAGTTGAATGTCGTGAAAATACAAACTCAAAGTATGGAAATTAAAAAATAAAATCCCGTTTATATTTATTATAAGGAACTGCAATATTTCATGGACCTTTTTGGTTTGGTCTTCACAAAAAAAACTTGAAGGTGCGATCATTTTGTTGGTTTTATTATTGATCGAACAAACCTTGTCAGAAATTCGGCGAGTTAGTCTGAACCAGCCGAGCTTGCACAGATTCGGTTTGATGTATTATGCCTGACCCGTCACATTTTTCTATTTCCAATGGTGTCTACTGTGGGCTGATATCTTTCCTCCTCTTGTTCCATATCACAGGACTCCGTTTTCTGCGAGCGCTGCGAATGATGTCTGTGCCAGATATCTTGCAGTACCTGAACGTCCTCAAGACAAGCAGCTCTATCCGACTCGCCCAGCTCGTCTCCATTGTCATCAGCGTCTGGCTGACTGCCGCGGGAATTATCCATCTGGTGGGGCTTCCTTCCTCCACTTGACCGTCTTCCCCCCGCCGCTGGGCCGGGACACGGTTCTGCGATTTTTGTCTTACATTTTAAAGCATGAAATGCTTTTTCACCCCACCCCCAATCCTAAAATATTGTCTGTCTGTCCGTCCGTCCGTTCGTCCTGCGCTTTCCGCTAAATTCAGTGGGGAAAGTGGCATCATGTGACATCGCCTGACGTCGCCTCACCTATACACATTAGGGAAATTGACGGCACGTGACCTACACACCGATTCAATTATCCACTAAATTTAGCAGGGAATATTAACGTCTTGTGACCTGGACACCAACCCAGTTTCCCTGCGAAACTTAGCGGGAGAAATCGATGTCACTTGACGTGACGTTTCAGTTTTCCCGCCAAACTTAGCAGGAAAACAATATGTCACGTGACACACAGATTCCCTCCCTAATTCCCTACAAAACAATACATGCATTATAAGACTTTGAAGGTAAAAACCCGTTTACACTCTTGCGACCTCTTAAAACTGGGTTCCTTAAAACCTCTTACGAGAGGACACACTGGCACCATCTATTGGGTAGCATGTAAACTCGGCAGTCCAGCATATTTTCTATTTCTCTCGCGCATTATCCTTTCTTTCTTGGCTCGGAAAACTTTTGTCAACGTTATAAACGAGCCCTTCTTATAGGTATTACGCACATTTGACCTCGGAAATCCCGCAAAACCTTCGCTCTTGTGAAATGCAGTTCTAGGGTCACCGCATAGATGCCGCCAGCGTGCCAGTATGCTCTCTCGTCCTAAGAAATTTTAAGAAGTTTTAACGAATCTCGTCTCTCTCGGTCGTACTTGGTTGCATATGTGTGAACGGTGCAATGCCAATTTTTAATTGTTCCCTCATATCACATTTGGCAAAGTGAGGCTCTTTTAATGTGTCATATTAGACCACATTCCCCTCATGTTATTTTTGTTTCTATGTTGGTTTTGTGGTATTGAGCCTTTTAAAGTGTTACACGGCAGTAATTGTCTTTCTTAAAACAGAAAAGAAAAATATTTAAATTATTTATTCATTAAACATACCAGAACTACTCATTCACAGTATACAAGTCGTATTTTAGTTCTTATACCATCTTTTATGTTCATTAAAGACATCATAGAATTCTCTTATTTTTTTACTTGGGCGGGCGAGGAACGAGAAGCTAAAGAAGTTTGATGCTGATTTAAAATTGGACCCAAAGTAGAAGGCATTTATATTTGCTGAGTAATTCTGTAAGCAAGTACTTTTGTAACTGAATAAATGAATTAAAAAAAAAAAAAAAAACATGAGTGGGTGATCAGGATGTGACATCAGGAGTGTCTCGAGCAGATGTGTAATCCATAAGAAATTTTTTGCCTTGCACTGTGTTTAAGATATTGTAACCCATTGTCTTCAAAAAGTAGATTTGGTAAAGAGGTGCTGAAGGCAACTATTGGACAGTTGTCACGAACAAACGCTGAAAGGGGGGAGAGGGCCCAAAAAGGAGACTGGACAAATGTCATTCCTCAATCTCTTTTGCCATTGCATTTTGTGGACTCATTTTATTGGACAATGCAAGCGTTACCTTCAATACAAAAAATGAATGTGGGAAATTTAGAAATACACATCCTAAAAAAATATTATTGTTATTTTTTTATTCTTTTGGTTTTGAAAAGTTGAGAACTTAACTTGGGTTCATTGCCTGTGTATTTCTTACAGTTGGAGAATTCTGGCGACCCCCTGGACTTTGCAAATGCACGCAAGCTGACGTACTGGGAATGCGTTTACTACTTGATTGTGACGATGTCCACAGTGGGTTATGGTGACGTATACTGTCAGACAACACTGGGGCAAGTCTTCATAGTACTGTTTATACTTGTTGGCTTGGTGAGTTCAATGTCCTGATTTTACTTTACTATATCATGCTTCACTAGCATAGTCTTATGTGTGTGTTACAAACATGTATGTCGTTTTCCCCTGAAATTTTTAATTATGAAGATATGTCAGCTAAACAGCCCTTCCTGGCTTTTTGATTGAGTTTCACTGCAGGCTCTGTACAATTTTCTGATCGAGTATAATGCATGCAGTCTAGCTAATGCACAATGTAAATTACTATATAAGTATAACCTGTCTAAATATTCAGTTCTGTATCTACTGAGTGTGCGGAAATTAAGTAAAGTGTTACCTGATCTAAAACAGTTACAAACACTGTCCCGTTTAATTTTAGCGTTATTAGCTATCCATCTTGAGAAGCAGTTCACGTGCACTTTGAAGGGATTACTGATTTCCGCTGGAGACTTTGTTTTGACGAAGTTTAGCCATTACATCAATTTATTAAATTTATCACATTCTCTCAACTCACCTCTTCACTACTGTTGCATCCTACATTACTCTTATAGTTTGTGCAGGGGCCATAGAAATTTAGGTGTTTATTGCAGGGATCGTAAGCCCAAAATTGACAGTGCCTGTAAGCCACTTTTTTAAAACAAGTATTTACTCTCCTTGCTCCTGTCTTTCTCTGTCTTCATAAAAAGTATACTTGATTAAGCTCTTAATTGCTTAAGTACTTTTCGTAGCTAGTTTTGTACTGAGGCTCAACAACTTTGATAGGCCTGCTGGGTCATTTGCACAAACCTTGTGGATCAGATGGTGCACATTTTTCTAGAATTATGGGATCTGCTTCACACTATGTGTAGAAACAGCATTTAGCTCTTTTCATTTTATCCTGTTCTTTGTTCGGAGACATTTTTCGATCTGCTCTAATGCTGTTGTATGGAACTTACTTAATGTAAAAAAAAAAAAAATGTATTTTTACGAATGATAGCAATTGTAAAATACAAAACGTTTTGATATTGTACACCCAACACAAAAAGCTGCTGCTGGATTCTCTTTTTTTCCCGACCATAGTCAGTGGACTATACATGTTTAAAAGCTAAAATTTTATGCAATGCAGACTGTCTACAGGTGTGGACTATACAAGGATTTATTTTTTGAGATTGCTCATTATGACAAGACGTGACGAATTGCTTGAACATCTGATTATGTTGACTGTGATCCCTGTATGATGCGAGCTTTGTTGTATCGCTGTGTCTAAACATATGTTGGACATATCCCGATCTCAGAGTCTAAAGATACGTCATACGTACCCGGAACCCGGAGTCTAAAGATACGTCGGACATATCCGGATCTCAGAGTCTAAAGATACGTCGGACGTAGTTGGTGAACGGCCATTGGTCCGTCGAATGCACCCGCTCCACGCTCACGAGTCGTGTTTTCTTGTACTTGCATTTACGACTAGGATGAAAAAATTAAGCTTCAATCAACTCAAGCGTGTTACAAATCAATCCATTCCAATCCAGTTCAAGTAGCCGCAAGCCATCATCATCATCGCCCACAACAAAAAGTGTTGCGTTCACAAAGAGGGTGCATGTGCTTCGCACGTGTGACCAATACTCCCACCAATCTCTATGACAATTGCTGGATCGCGCTTCCTGCTCCCGCGAGCGGAGCCACCGAACGGCCATCTTGCTCGTAGACAAACTGCGGCTTTGCTAGCGTTGCAGAGGCTGGCGGCAGCATGCTGAAGACACATTTTCCACTCGTTCATCACCATTCGTCAAAAAAGCTTTTTTAGACCCTGTGTAAGCGTTAAGACTTGCCGTTGAGAACACGCGGCAAATTTTACAAAAGCGCACTGCCGCAGGAAAAAAGCAGAACTCGTAGAAAGCAAGTTTCGCCGGTCTTGCGGCATCATCAAAGCTCCCTTGGCACGCCTAAATGCTGCGTCTCTGCGCGTTCACATGCTTGGATTTTGACGTCACGGCAAAGTTTTGAAGGTGTGTCACGCGTAGGTGTGTTTGCATTATATATTGGCCGTGGAGTTCTGAATCGCTTAGCTCTTCCGGCAATTTTTTATCAATAAAGGGAGGAAAGCAATCTGTACAGCTGCTCTTATGCACTATTAACCATGGATATGTTCCAATCTACTCTAATGGATCACATGGCAGCACAAATAGAGCAATGCTGTGGAGGTTTTCGAAGGCAAAAGTACAAGATGGCGAGATTGGAAATCTTTGAGGCGCTGCCCATATGGTCGTGTGCAATCGGTTGACCAATCACAAATAGGCGAGCCGCGCTCAAACTTGGTGTCACGTGCAATTGTTGGTAATGAGCCAGACCATTGATCAGTGATGAGGAGCTGTGTTCACAAGTTTCTGTAAACCGTCAAACGATTTCATTCCCTCCCTCTTCCTTCGCCACTGGACACTGGATCAAGCTCATTTCTTGACTGCGAGAGCCGCAATTTACAAATGCAGTCGTCAGAGTAAAGTAAAACGCTGCTCCAGAGGCACATACGGCTTCACGGACATTGCACTCGCAAAACATATCCACCCGGCGTCGATTCTTGATCGGTATTCAAGCGTGCAAAACCACAAAGACGCAGCACTTCTGCGTGCCAAGGAAGCTTTGATGACACTGCGAGACTTGCGAAACTTGTTTTCAACGAGTTGTGCCTTTTTCCTGCAGCACTGCGCTTTCGTAAAAATTTCCAAGTGTTCTTAACGGCAAGTCTCAGCGCTTACACAGGGTCTTAAAAAACTTCTTCGGTGAATGAAGACGAACGAGTAGAAATTGTGTCTTCAGCACACTGCCGCCAGCCTCTGCAACGCTAGCAAAACCGAAATCTGCCTACGAGCATGATGGCCGTTTGGTGGCTTCACTCGCTCTGCAGCGACGAAGTGGGGAAGCGCGATCCAGCAATTGTCATAGAGATCAGTGAATACTCCCGTGGGAAATTATTATTCTACGTGTAGCAGACCTACAATAGGGTAGTCTAGCCTGGTGTACATGGCTTTCACATGACGTCAAAGCAGTCCTCCTTGCTAGTGGTAGAATGCACTAGAAGCTGAGATGACTAGTTTCTAGTTTGTAGAATTAGTACAGCACCGGTTTTGCATTTCCAGGGTTATTAATGGGGAAAGAACCGAAAGCTGGTTGTCAGTGCTCGCTCCTTGTCAGTTTTTTTACGTCAGCAGATGCACGTAAAAGAATGTTGCATCATACAAGTGCAAAAATCAGTAGGCAGGAGCCGTAATCCGCCAATCCTTTTTCACACACTGCATGCTTTGCACGTCTGTACGAAACGAAACTTCGACTGCCAGTGAAAGAAACGAACGGAAACGGCACACAAATGCTCATGTTTCGTGAGTTTTGTAATCTCTCTTGAACATTTTTCTCGAAACTCACAAAACGAAACAAAACTTAGACCGCCAGAGGAGAAAATGCCCGGAAACGGCACACAACGTTTTATGTCTCATCAAATTCGTACTCTCTTTTGAACATTGCTGTCAAAACTCTACAGCGGAGCCGGTTGAGTCCATTGAGCTCGGGGTCAGCGACGCATGCGGCATACCACTTGGTGCCACAAGCACCCTAAATGCGAATCGCGGCTATGCCCACAGACTCCGGGTCCCGGGTACGTCCGGCATATTTTCAGACTCTGGGATCCGAATACGTCCGACGTACCTTTAGACGCAGCGTTGTTGTATGTAAATCGAGCAGGCATTTTTATTGTGTATTGTATATGAGAATTGTTTACATAAGGAGCGTGCACCAAATGCAAACTATATGAATCAGGGGGTGAGGATCACATAGTACAAAAAATGTGGTACCAAGTCAACAAAACATATGATGAATTTTCAGTCTGTGTTTTCATGCCTCTGGTATTAGTCCAGGAAACATGGTTATTGAACTATCTGGATTAATCTAAAAAAAAAAATATAATAATTCCTTTTACATTGTTTTTTTTTTTTTTTTAATTAAGTCATCATCAAATGTTTCATAGATGAAATATGCATTTGGGGTGCGCCAGGGCTGGGCAGAGATACTCCAAAAAGTATTCGGGAATACAAATTCTGAGATACATGTGTTTTAAGACCCAAAATACAGATACTGAGGTACATTTTTTTTTTTTTTGCAACAGAATATTTCTGAGATAATTCTGCAAAAACGGTGAAAAAGTATTCCAGAATACAAATACAGATACTTACAGAAATACATTTGTTCCCGAGTGGTGCTACTTGGGGAAGGTGTAGTTTGTGCCAAATGCGAATGATAATTTATGCTTGTGCACCTCTTTTTGTGCCATTTTACGCACTGCCCCTTACCTCGAACTTTGAATTTATAATTAATGTCGCTAAAAAAGACATGTCACCCCTGTTAAACTAGATGGTTACAGAACGGTAAATACTGCGTACTGTGCTTGACAAAAGGCGTCTGCCCAAAATGAACCCTGTTTTGCCATGAGGGAACATCTCAAACTGTTTTCTTATATGCTTCTGAGTCAACCATAGTGGGGGGCGATTGGACAACAGGGCAAAACTTTTTTCTTCACTCAACTCTTTTAGTGTTCGCTTTGATAAATTGTGAAGAGTAGAGGACTTTGTGAGAGGGAGCTGATTTTGTTTTTCTTGCTGGTCGCCTTCTTTAAACCACAGCTTTTTTTTAATGTTCGTGACTGAGATGGATCATGTTATAGGGCAGGTTCATATTATAAATTCTGAAGCAACTTGCACCAAACAGATGTTTTTATATTTTATATTTATTTTAAAAAGGGCAACAAATGTAATGAGATACCTTAGTCTGGCAATGTATTGCGATGCAAGCGATTCATTGTAAATGTATCTCACTACTGATGTATGAATATGTTTTTCAAATATGTATTGATACAGAGATACAGATACTCGAAAGTATGTCTAAACTACTATCCTGATACATCTTTATTGCAATACTGCCCAGCCCTGGGGTGTGCACAAGTACTCATTGCAGATTCCATAACTGTCAGTGTAGGGGAGTGACAAAGCCAAGTTTTGCACGAGGCAGCATATCCGCACACTGGCTGCGGTGACGACAATCCGTAACACACTCCGCCTGTTCGTTTGTTTTTCCTGTGTTTTCTCTTTATTTCCGTAGGCCGTGTTTGCCAGTTGCATTCCCGAGATTCTAGAGTTGATAGGCACTAGACCCAAATATGGCGGCGAGTACAGGCGGGAGCATGGGAAAAGGTATGACGCCGTGGGTAACGTTCCACAAAAAAAAAAAAGTTTGCCGTTGAGACGTGACGTGGCGTGGTCGTCCATCTTTTTTCCTTCGTCTTCCTTGGTTCTTTCTACCTTATCTTTTTGTTTTGGCCGTCGTCCCCACGTCGTCGTCGTCTTCGCCGTCGTGGTGCGTCGTGGTGCGCCGTCAGTATTGTGCCTTCTCTCTTGCATGCCCTCTTGTACCCTGCACGGCTTAGTGGTTGCTGGCCAGGGCGTCGTTCGTCGTTGTGAGCCGCCTCTCGTGTTGTCACTCTGCACTCCTGGGCTGTGTGGCACGCTCTTCCGGGGTCCTCCCCCACCCCTGCGTTGTCCCTGCAATAGGGAGAGGGGTTCGTGCGGCTTCGCTGGTCCCAACGCTTCTGTGGCCGAGCAGCTGACGAATGCTTTCTCTGTTCCTGGGGGCATAGCAGCGGGGCTCTGGAACTTCAAGTCACGAGTCGGACAGGTCAAAGTGCCTCGCAATGCGTTGGAGCTGGGGAACTGCTGTGGGACTATGGACAGATATTTTTTTTGGTAGGCACGGCAGGCAACGGGAACTTTAGGAGGTGAATGTCTTCGGTTACCATATAACTGAGCAAGCTTAAAAGTGAGTACAATCTTGAGCTGTGGTACAAAGTCAAAATCACCAAGATGCAGGTAAATGTTGCCTGTAGTCGGTGTTAGGTTAGGAGTTCAGGGGAAGCTCCTCCCACCTCTTTACACTTTATGAGTGCAAACGTTGGAGAAGTCGCCTCCTCTCCAGCGTTCGCTCTGCTGAAGTGGAAAGAGGTGGGAGAAGTTTCCCCCAAAGATTGTTCATGCTGGAAAAGTAGCCCACATTTTTCATGACAATTTTAAGAATGATTCTTTTCCTTTAGGAATGCGTAAAAATTAGCACTTGAAAAACTGAGGCAGAGATTAGGAAGGGAACTTTAATTAAGAAGATGTTTTTCGATATTCCAAGTTATTTTGTAACCGAGTTTTTTTTTACACAAATAGAGAGGTATCTGTTTTCTTGCTGGAAGAGCAGATGTGTATTGTCTCCCATTGGAGGAGCGCTCTTTTTGTGCGTGCATTACTGTTCCGTTGGGAAAGGAGTGGCGCGAGCACGCTATACTGGCTGGTTGAAGGAAGTCACAAAATGATTTAAGGATTGTAGCTTTTTCTTCCGTTTTCTTAAGGGGGAAGGGGAGGGCGGGTCTATTTCTGTAGATATTAATGTAATTATAATTAGATAATTCAATGTATTCGAACATAGTTAGTTTTTAAAGTCTACGGAGTAAGGAAGGGAAACCAAGTGCCCACTCTGCTGTTGGAGGAAAGGTTAGGTGACATGTTCCAAGAGATTTTTTGACGGCTCATAGTTTTTGGCTGGAACGCAACGTGGTTGGTGACGCGGCATGCAGCTATACGCGAGTGTCTGCACTGGCAGGGTTCATTCATCTCTCCTTCCTTTCTTTTTTTTCCCCCACCTTACTTTCTACCTCCAGCATTCCTTCACGATATGTCAGATCAGCTACAGTGCACACTGGTGGAGCCCATTACATTTTCCTACCAAGCAGTAAATTCATTCATCAGCTGTCATGCAGTTTGTATCACATTTCTGTAATTGAAATTAGGAAAACATGCTGCTATAATAGCAGGTAACATGTGGATCTAGTCTGATTTGAAAGAGACACAAAGACATTAAATCATCCACTGCCTGACCAAAGAATAATGTATAAGCATTTTTTGCTTAAGCGAAACTTTCCTGACAGTTTTGGGAGTTTGATAGCTTTCAAGAGATGTTGACAAGCTAACAAAGGCTGGTCATTCGGTGATACACATTGGCTCGCATTATTTGCCAAGCCTATTGCACTATCTTTAAGGTGGCAAATGCCTCCCCAAACAGTTTGCACTGTAGACTTCCACATAAGCACAGACACACCAACACAGTTGCCGGGGGGCTTCTTGGATTGACCCCTTTTGGCCAAGCTGCCGCATTGGCAGGGCTGTCGAGAGCAGGACAGGAACGCAGGAGGAGTGAATATTTGAGTCTTGGGCTCGTGCTGTGCCACTGTACGTTGCCGTGATGGGCAGCTGGGGCCTGATGCTGGATGACCTATTGCTGTCTCTTTCTCTTCCCTGTCTCTCTCTCTCTTTCTCTTTCTCTCTTTCTCTCACTGTCCGGCTGTCGCGCTAGGCCGTGTTCGCTAGCTGTATACCGGAGATCATAGACCTAATTGGTTCAAGGCCAAAGTATGGTGGAACATTCAAGTCAGAAAGAGGACGAAGGTAACGTGAACTTTGTGGCACTGGTAGAGATGTAGTTCCTCTTTCTAACGAACTTTGTAGTCTCCTCGTTTTTTTTTCTCTCTTTTTCTCCTCCCTTCTTTCTGTCTCCTACCTAGACCTCTTTCTTCCTGCATGGACACAGCACCATTTTTCTATGATCTCCTTGCTCCCCTCGTTTGTCTGGGTGGCAAATCTCGCGCCAGCCATGTAGGCGAAAAGGAAACTGTTGGATTGCTCCGAACTGTGCATGCTGGCGGGATTTCTCGACTCTCGTTGAAGCCCGCAGCGCTTACGTTGTTTCCATGTCTAACATCTGAACATGAATGACCGACTTCCCCTGCATTATGATTGAGGACGAACATATTTTCTGGGATCTGCTTGTTGATTTGTTACCTGTACTCTCGCTTCGGCAGCCTTCATTTACTATCGCCTATTGGGTATCATTAGGCAGAGTGGAGGAGCTTATACTTGCGTAAGTGAACCATGCAGGCAACAAAAATGAAGCGAAAACAAAGGCCACTTGATATTACAAGTGATTCAATTCACTCTATTGTTAGTGAAGTAATGATATGTTTCTTTTAGCTGTTCTAAAATTTAATGGTTTGTGATTGAAGTACTTGCTGACTTTAAGGATGGAGAGATACCTTTTATTCTTCACATTCAATTCTTTACCAGACAACACGCTGCTGAATATTTGCTAGATTCAATCAGAAACCTCCTGGGTTTTTCCTGAGTATCTGAAAGGTTGATACTATATTGATGAAAATATTGTAAGCGCATTTGCTCGTACTGTTTGTGTCACTACCCTGACAATTGACATGACTAGTTTTGAAGCCTTGTCTTACATATTCTCAGCATTTTGTCACTACAGTCCTCCCTTTTCATACTCTTTAATCCGTGTTTCCCTTCCTGGCCTTTTTTTTCCTCCTTAGTCGCTGCTTGTTGCATGATTTATGTGTTGCATGACACATTTTCTTGTAGAAATCACTGTCAAAGGCAAGAGCAGCATTGCATGAAATGTGCTTTGCCTCTTTGCTGTGCAGTGTGTCCATTGCTATCATGACTTAGAAGTAGTTTGTATCTTATGTCTCAATGTTATTTCTGAGCGAATAATGACCTCGGAGGCTCTGCCATGTTTTGTGTGAGCTTGAATTGTCTGTCCTGTAAGTGTGACAAATTCTTAAATTTTACTACAAGGTAATGAGCATCAAATCAATCTTTGTTTCAGAAGTATACAAAAACAAATTAACCTCGCATGACTTACTAGACACTTCTCCATTGGTGAAATATGTTTTTCTATTTTGTCTCGGTAATAATAATTCAAGTGTTGAACACAAAGAGTTTTAGTAGTAATAAAATAGAAATATGGATATATTATTTAGTTCTTCAAATGTCACACAATTTTTCCTTTTTTATATTATTGTGGCACGTGCTAATACATGTCATTGAATGACTAGCTCATCCTGAAAAAAAACATAACAGGAGTTAAAACAAAGGAGAAAAAAAGATGTAGATTCTTAGGTGCTTCGATCATAGAATTTCAGTTGCTTTATTTCTCTTGTTTCCAGGCACATTGTCGTCTGTGGGCACATTACATACGAATCTGTGTCTCACTTCCTCAAAGATTTCCTCCATGAGGATAGGGAAGATGTTGACGTAGAAGTAGTTTTTTTACACAGGTAAGTCTGATTCAAAGCTGTGTTACAGTGAAATTTCAGTGTGCAACATCCTGTGGTTTGCATCGTAGCCACCCAGGCGAAAATCAGTCCACTTCCAGCTGGATTATGGAACTGGAAATGAGGTGGTCCAGCTGGATTCCAGCTGGACCCAGCTGGGTTCCAGCTGGGTACAGCTGGAATCCAGCTGGACTGCCTCATTTCCAGTTCCAGCTGGGTTCCAGCTGGGTACAGCTGGGTTCCAGCTGGGTACAGCTGGAATCCAGCTGGACCGCCTCATTTCCAGTTTCATAATCCAGCTGGAAGTGGACTGATTTTTGCCTGGGCAGCATAAACAGCCTTGCTCGTGAATTCACATTCATAATAGCTCACAAAACTTTTGCTAATCCTTCGAATTGTTGTAGCAGAAATGTGCTGTATCTTTATGTCAATGACTTGTTTATGTTAAGAAATAGAGTTTTGATTGGTTGTTTTAGTGCGCAGCTCTTAGGCGCCCGTTTGCGAGTAGAGTGGCGGCACCGTCGGCGTCAACGTAACCGCGCGTGTTGCATTATGGGACGTTTCTCCACCAAAGTCAGCGGGGAAATTTTCCCGTTAAAGTTAGCAGGGAAATTTTCCTGCTAAATTTAGCGGAAAAGTTTCTCGCTAAATTTAGTGGGAAAATGTTTCCGCTAAGTTTAGCAGAAAATTTTCCCGCTAAAGTTGGCGGCGATATTTCCCAGCTAAATTTAGCGGGAAAATTGATGTCGCGCGACCTCAACACCAATTCAGTTTCCCCGCTAAATTTAGCTGAGGAAATGACATCACGACTTGGTGTCACCTCACCATGAATAAATTCAGCGGCAGGAGGAGAGGAGGAGGAAAGAAAAAGAGTACAAGGAGGGAAGTAGGAGCAGGAGGAGGAGGGGCCCTCTCCTCCATACCCTCCTCTCCTCCTCCTCAAGAGCTGCACTCTAGTTTCGCATTACAGAGATTTGTAAACATCTTCCATTTTTTAAAGAACTGACTATTTCTTTTATTTTTCTTGTAACTTGGCAGGAATGTATGAAATAGAACCATATTAAACTTATTACTTCATCTTCCTGCAAATATAATGGTTTAAAGAGAAACAAATAGAAATAAATTAAATACACATCAATGAAACTTTAGTCGAAAGATTATTCGGCTCCAGGCATCTTAGTGCTATTTTACCTTTTTGTAATTTTCCTGGAATGTTTTTTTTATCCCATATTGTTCCTAAGTGTTTCTGACATTATTGATTACATAATATTCTTTACGAGGCTTTGATGATAACTATTATTGGAGATTTGTAACACGAAAAAAATTCTGAAAGCCTAATTGTAGTTAGCATACTGAAAATGATCCAACTAAACTGAGGTTCACTCAAATATTTTATTATTATCTTATAGTTTCTTTTTTGATGTGAATGATACAGTGCACTAAGTGATGTTCTCATGATGTCGTCTTACAGAAAGCCCCCAGACCTTGAGCTGGAAGGCTTAATAAAGAGGCATTTTACTACGGTGGAGTTCTTTCAAGGCAGTGTCATGAATCCTATTGACTTGCAGAGAGTCAAGGTAATGATGCTCTTAGGTACCTTCCGAGTACAAGCACCTTTACAGTTTACCTGTTTAATTATTGCATAGTAAGTTTCTAGGCCAACTATAAAGTTGATTCACTTTTAATCCAAGGAGAGGTTCGATGCGTACATAATCATCATCATGAATTTATTTTTTCAAGTTTCGTGATAGGTATTATTGTTTTGATTGTTTGTTTATTGTTACTGTTAGCCCAGAAGAACCGATACAGGGTGGAGTTTTAACACTTAATACGATCGAAAACAAAATATACATATTGGGCCAAGGTTTTGGCTACATCCACAAGAGTTTAACTGAACACAAAATTTACGATAATGTTAAAAAAAAAAAAAACTGTTTAACACACAATCAAGCATGCACGACCACATAGCTCTCAAATCAAAATTGCATCACAAAAACATCAATATGCTTACATTATACATTTTATATTTGGCATCATATGGACTTCAGACATTTGGAAGCATAGGTATACTGTAGTAAGGTCGAAGCTTGATTTAGTTTTAAGTGATGGAGCTACATGAACAGCGTTTTATCTGTCCACTTTGTTTACTCCTCACTCGTTTGTTTGTGCTGTCTTTATTTTTACTATTAGAATACTGGTCTTTATATCATCATATACAGTTACATAAATAGCTGTAGCATGTATTGTCTGTGGTCCTGTGGACTAGTAGTTCCAGGTGCAGAAATAGGTGTACCACATCTTATGACATTATTTTATGGGTGAGTACAGTTACGAGGATAGATCCTATGCTGTGGTCTGTCTGTCGTCATGATAGCTAATGTCTGTTGCAGGTTAAGAACAGCAGGGCAATCTTCTCCCAGAAAGCGTTTTACTCTTTCCACTTTAGCTTAGAGAACGCTGGTGGAGAAAAGGCGGGTGGGGAGGTGGAAACCACCAATCCCGGCAAGCAAAAAGCTTTGTGGGTGGGGCTGGTCCATCTATCCTAAAGCTGCAGCTGGTATAGTTGGATGGGAAGGCATACTGTATTCCATTTAAACTAGCACGTTTTTGGTTGCACCTTAATTTGACCATGAACTAGTCAACCCCAAGGTTAATTTTCAGTGCAACATATGAACCACAGGTCTCTTTTTTTTTGTACTATAACACTGTATTGCGTTCCAGGTCCATGAGGCAGATGCATGTTTGGTGCTGGCAAACAAGTACTGCCAGGACCCGGATGCTGAAGATGCTGCTAACATTATGAGAGTCATCTCCATTAAGAATTACTCTGATGACATCAGGGTGATAATCCAGCTCATGCAGTATCACAACAAGGTGAGAATTTACCTTTTTACGTTTTGATAACAAAACCTAAAGCTAGTCTGATTTTAGAAGTAAAAAAAAGCAATTTGCTCAATACTTCAGCTTGGGCGAGTTGGTTAAACATGCTAATACTTCGCAGCGCACAACAGACAACACACCATCAAACCAGATACACACAAAGAAACAACACTCACGCAGCGCTGACTGTCAACTCTCGGATATATTAATCTTCGTTCTTATCTTTCACCCTTACGCACTAAAAAAGAACTAAATGTTAACCAAGGAAGAACAGCGAAAGAAAAATAAAAATAAAAAGAAAGGGGAAAGATTAATATAGGAAAGAAAGATGGAAAGAAATGGAAGAAAATAAGATCTAGTCCTACTACAGTAAAATTACTGAGGAGGTTTTCCTAAATAATATAACTAGCATAGACCTGCTAGACGGAGTATGCGTTAGTACCCCGTCGATTAGCTTATCAAGAAAAGAGTTATATTATTTAGGAAAACCTCCTCAGTAATTTTACTGTAGTAGGACTAGATCTTATTTTCTTCCATTTCTTTCCATCTTTCTTTCCTATATTAATCTTTCCCCTTTCTTTTTATTTTTATTTTTCTTTCGCTGTTCTTCCTTGGTTAACATTTAGTTCTTTTTTAGTGCGTAAGGGTGAAAGATAAGAACGAAGATTAATATATCCGAGAGTTGACAGTCAGCGCTGCGTGAGTGTTGTTTCTTTGTGTGTATCTGGTTTGATGGTGTGTTGTCTGTTGTGCGCTGCGAAGTATAAGCAATTTGCATCAGATTTTGAAGTGATACCGAACGTATTGCCTTTATTTTGCTTAAATATAAACTAAAGTGAACTAAATTCACATCAAAAACACCAATCTTGTTTATCTAAATAGTGTTGTGCGAATATTTGAAGTTTCGAATGGTAGGTCTGAATTATACACTATTCGATATTTGCTTCGGGATGAACTGCTGTATTCATGTTTTTCTAAGTGTTTATTGTGGCGGGTTAGTCCCGTTGAGCACCCTTCTTACCGAGGGGGGGTGCACTCCGTTAAAAAAAAACAAAAAAAAAAACAGCGGAAGCGAGCTCTGCGGGTGTTGCTTCTCTGCAGTGCGCCGGTGCTAGGAAAGAAGCACACTGAACGGGGTAACCTGCCACGATCAAACCTCGAAAAAGTGTGAATATCGCAATTGCGTGCTTGGGAGAAAAGCAGAGTTTCAAAGCAGGATGGTGCATGCGTGTGCCTGGTGTATTTGAAAAGGAACGGGAACTCTAGGAATGTGCATATCATTACGGTAGAATTTTTAAAATTAATCTTTGGCTGTGATGCAAGAGTATATGTTAGGCAGAGATGCCCTGACAACCTGCACTCTTTATTTGTGAATATTTTTTTCTTTTTCAAGTTCGATATTGAAGAAAGAATTTTTGCATATAGCAAGATATGTCAGTCCACTTAATTAGGTATGGCTGGGCATCTCTATAGGTTTAATTCAATGTCAAATTCATTGTTCACTTGCCATACCTTATGAGTTCACAGTTCGTAAATATAGTTACCGTAATATCCCGAAAGGTGCCCCTCTCCGAAAGATGACCCACCCTTATTTTTGGCCTGATTTGCTATATTTCTTTTAAAACACCGAAAGGTAGCCCACTTCTAGTAATTGCAGGGCCCTGGCCAATGGTGACCTCGGCAGAAATGGTGTTACTTAGCAACGGTGGGAGATATGCGAACATCACTGACTGGGAAAGACAGTCGTCTTTGGCTCATCACCCCTCCCTGCTATCACAAGTTGCAGAACTAGTAGCATTTTTTCAACTTTCTTTATCGCACAGCGAAGTGTAGCTTACTCTTTATTTTCACCCGATTCACTTTCGATTTTAGGTGGGCTATCTCTCAGGATATTATGCTAGGTTAAAATTAATGTATAGTTGGATGAGTTGAAGCTTCAGAGCAGCCTTCACGAGTTTAGCTGGGTTTTCGTTTTAGCATGGTGCAATGGTAGTGAGAGGCTTGGAGAAACTATTCACTATTCAATTCGAAAATACTACCAAAACCCCTATTCGCTTCGATTTTGTTGTGAACTAAAAATCAACTATTTGCATGTAACAAAATCTTAAACCTGGAAAATCCTAAATTGTTAATTTATGTTTTTTTGCTGGTACTGGTTGTTTAAAATGAGGTAGACAGTTAACAGATCGCACCCATACTCCACTTGCCCTTACACTGAGACGAGAAGCACCACCTCGTTGCAAACTTTCTGCCCTTGCTAACACGAGTGTGAACACTCAGGCACTCGCAACCAAAGCACTGCAGAAGCCAGTGAGCTCGCGCTGTAGGCGGAGCTTTTAGTCTCAGGGTGAACGGAATATAGTGGACTCTTCTGAAGCTTCAGTGGGACGTCTTCAGGTCATTTGTGACAACAGAGCAGTGCTACAGTGCATAATAACTGCATACTCGAATAAGCAACCAGGTGTCATTGCAGATGCCAGTGCCGAGTCATTGTAGTTTATTGAGAGTGCAGGGGCAATATATTCAGACAGGTGGGTAGGTACCACAGTGATGCTCCCAAGCAGGTTGTCACCATTGTGACCACCTTCCTTTATCATCGGCGTGGCGCTTTTGACGTTGCCTCAGTTTTGCCTTAACTCTGACGGAGAAAATGAGCATAGTTGGACTCTAATATTTCGCTGTGTATCCTGTCATTAAGCACGCCAGCCAGTAAACAAGGTGCAACTAGTATGCATATACTATTTGGCTTTATCATTTGTTGCTTTAGTTTGTGGTTAATTTTATTTACCTTTCTTGAAAAACACCTTTTAGATCTTGTGCTAACATAAATGTAAGCCCTGTATCTGTTGACATCGAATTACTGGCAGTTGTTGAATATTTTTTTTATTTCTGTTATACTAGGCCTACCTGCTGAACATCCCCAGTTGGAATTGGAAACGGGGGGATGACGTGATCTGTGTATCTGAGCTGAAACTTGGATTTATTGCACAAAGCTGCCTGGCTCCAGGTTTTTCGACCATGATGGCCAACCTGTTTGCCATGAGGTCCTATAAAACGGTCAGTTGCCTCTTCATCATGCCCTCCTTTTTACACGTGTCTGAAATATACTAGGTTGCGAAGGGAGTTTTGTCTATGAATTTAGCATGCTACATTTAAAAAATAGTTACTTTTTTAATGCAATAGCATTAACTGTTCCATGGAGCGTAGCCAGAAGTTTGTAACTGCGAAAAGCGGCTCCTAAATTCTCTTCCTCAGCATAACGGCAGTTAAAATGGCTGCGACACGTCACGTGCTGTTTTCATTGGCTGAGCGAAATGGCGCCTAAATGCGATGGCACCTCGGAGGAGAAATGTTTCCAAGTAATATTTTTACACATATTAAAGTTTTGGATGACATATAGGAGTGTTGAAAACGACTTCCCAGAGATCGACACCAAGTACGGCGTCTAGGACGACCTTTAGGACGACATCAAGGACAACCTCTCGGACGACGTCTAGGACAACCTAAAGGACAACCTTAAGCACGATGTTAAGAATGACGCCTAGAGGACAACATCTAGAGGATAATGTGTAGGACGACCTCTAGTACGATGTCAAGAACGACGTCTAGGACGACTTCTAGGACAACCTCTTGGACGACCTTAAAGGCCGACGTACAACCTCGGTTTTCTGTAGGGAAGATAATCCTCTTAGGGCTCCTCTCTCCTAAGCTGCGAGGGAGAGCCAGGTTGGGGCAAGGTAAAACGTGGAGAGGATATATAGGAAAGGAGGTGGCGAACAAAAGTGGAAAGCGCAAAGTGTACGTCGGCCTTTAAAGACGACATTGAGAATGATGCCAAGAGGACGACATTGAGAACGGCGCCTAGAGGAGGACACTTCAGGAGGCTGTGCCGTATTTGCGTGGGTGGTTACATTTTCCTGTGGAAGTTGCTGCAGATGTAGACACTGCTTCCGATGTTGAGGCCATAGATGTAGATGCGGTCACCTCACAGTTCTTCACATAAAGCACACAACGAACATAGATGAAGTCTGAAGCGCACCTTTTGCACACTGTGCTCTGGCGGTGGCATCATGCTGATAACGTATGATGACGCTTGATGACATATTTTTTGGCCATCTTTCAGTCACAATGCCGACGGACGCCGCTTGTTTTTCATGTACTGTGACAAGTGACGTCGTCCCAGGGGTCTAGGACAACTGCAAGGACAAAGGTCGTCCTTGAGCAGATGATTGAGTGGCACGTGCCACTCAATCACATTTTTATGGCCATTTACTCCGATTTGTCGCTCAATGAGACAAGTAAGGCTTTCGCCTTAATAACCAATACCACTTTTAAGGACCAATAGAGTAGTCAAGGATAGTTTAGGTTACATGGATTTTGACTTCGGAGAACCACCGTATTTATTAAGACATTGGTGTACTTTTTTTAAGAATTTTGTTTAAATTGGGTGTCGATTTTTATTAGCAACCAAAGAATATTGACCAATTCAATAAATGTTGCCCCAAATCAGCAGCTTCTCCTAGCACGCTTATGTTAGGCGGTGAAGCTTGCCGCACGCACACCACCAGCGGTGATCCAGTGCACGGTGATAAACTCTTAACTTGACGTGGAGTGAAAGTAGCGCAGCCGGGGTGGGGAACCTAGCCACGAAGCACATCAGAAGTGTGCATGCATTCCGGATAGAAGGGCAGAAAGATGAATGGCTGGTTGTGAAAGCCGCAGTCCTTTTTGAAGCCTAGCTAGTTCAAGGTCGTGCCTGCCCGGGAAAGAACAGGCAAGAACAGTGCGCCTCAACGAGCAAAGATGAAGAAGACTGGGTGCAGAGCAAAGTAAAGCCGTGACTGGATCGCTGACACATTCTGCCGACCATGTTGGATGGCACTTTTTGGACACCAGCTAGAAAGGCAAACGCATCAAACGGGAAATTAATAGACATTCTCCTATGGGTATTCAACGGGACCAGCATTCGTGAATGTAAGAGCGAGGAGGGCCTATCAGCCGTGAATTTATGAACAATTGGTTCTACTGTATTTCTTTTTGAGGCAGTCTACTTACTCAACTTGTTCATTAGCTTATCAATGTTTTTTTTTAATTTAGTACACAGTAGACTGAAAACTATTTGGCACCTAGTTGATCACATACGACTACGTCCTAGTCCCAAAATATGAACCGAATTGTCCGCATTCAAACATCTTTCCGTGCCTAAAACTTCTCATACCACTTCGTTTAGTCCCTTTGCCATTTGTCAGTTCGCCTGTGGTCTGCTTCCAAGCAGGTCAAGTGCTATTACCATTATGGTGCAATAGAAACCTGATAGCGTGTTGGCCTTCATATCATTTGTGCAACAGTCTATGACCATTTCCATTTTGTTTATTGCCAAGAGGATTAGTACATATTGCTTATAATATGCATTACAGGCTGGCTTCTTCAAAAAGCTAATCAGCGTGAGTGGCATTGGCAGGGTTCTAGTGAAACTTGGTTGTGGTGGAATACTTTATCCGGGCGATAGAAGGTTGCCAGAAGTAGTATTGGGCAGTGCCAAAGGCTGAAGCAGAATAATAGTCATAGGGAAGGTTTTGAATGGTCTGTATGAAAACTAACAGCATGGCATTTTTTGTATTACTTTAATGGTGCATTTGCATGCTTTAGAAAGAGGGTACTGTAGGAGCTATATCCTGTTTACACCTAGACAACAGTTTCTAAATACCTTTTACCTTTTTTAAAAATAAAAAAGTGGTTATGTATCACTAACAGAAAAACGCTTATTATGGCATGTACAGTAACACCACCATGCAGTTGGCCATTTTTGGTAGCTGTGGCACTACTATAGGGCGAGCAAGTGTTCTAAAATGCATCTTTTATGCATCAGAGTGCAAAGAGGGGCAAGCCAATCAAAGTTCAGCATAGAAAATGCGTAAAGAATGCGCTATGACGACGCAGCCAAGCTTGCGTCATCATTGGTTGAGGTTGGGAGGAAACAAATGCACGTGGGCACATTTGGGGACAAAAAAATGCGCGAGCTATGCAAAGAGAAGACAAACAACTGCATGTCATATAGTAGACAGTTCCCAGTCAAGTTCCAGCACCTTAGTTAATTCCTCACCCAGGGTAGTTAGGGGTAGTTAGTTCATTCAGTCCAGTTGAACATGTCCAGCTTATGAAAACATGCAGCTGTTTTTATAAGCCATTGCGGAGAAATGCGACAGAAAAGCTAATTCTGTGTTACTTTGTTGCAGTCTCCTGACATGCCCTCATGGCAGAATGATTACCTCTGTGGTACTGGAATGGAGATGTACACCGAGAGCTTATCCGCCTCTTTTACAGGCATGACCTTTCCTCAAGCTGCAGAGTAAGACCAGTGATCCTCATAAGTTTCCACGCGTGTGGTGTTGCACCGTTGCGCTGTTTCACGTGTGGCTCGAACACTTTTCAGGCTTTGTTTTGTAAAGTTGAAACTTCTACTCCTGGCCATTGAAGTGGCTGTCGAGGAAGGAGCTGACTCCAAAATTGCCATTAATCCCAAGAAAAAAATTAAAATAACTCTCAACACTCAGGGTTTCTTTATTGCTCAGTCTGCTGACGAAGTCAAGCGGTACGTACGCCCTGTCAGAAACCAATCATCTTTGCCTGCTGAATTTACCTTGAAATTGCTTCCTCGTTTGGTGCAGGGCTTGGTTTTACTGCAAAAACTGTCACGAGGACATCAAAGATGAAAAGCTCATAAAAAAGTGCAAGTGCAAGAATCGTAAGTGTCTGCCCGGTAGAGTTTCCTCACCTTCACTCTGGATTCGTCGAGAGTTGAGTTTACGTTTCAAATGAGAAATAACATTAAACTTTGTATTGACAGTTTAGGTGAATTGGTCTATAGGGTGCATCTAGATTTGAATTAAGCAATTCAGGAAGGTAGGGTCATGAGGAATTAGTTTACTCAGGCATATTGTTAATGAAATACACTTTCGATTTTCTTGATTCAAACCTCTTTAGTTACTAGCTATATATATCACACACTAAGAGAATCATATTTTCTCTGCCACTTCTGCAGTCACCTTTAGGCAGCGATGTGGATAGATAAGGTTACTTTGATTTCAAATACTGTAAACATTATAAAAACATTCCAGGTTTGCTTTGGCTTTGGTAGTTTTTGAGCACTGAATATTCTGTCGTATATACCTGCCAATTGTTGCTGCTTTACCAACTGAAGCTATTACTAAGCAAGTTATTCATCTAACCCTTTTGACCCTATAATGTTGTAACACTTTTCTGCCAGTTTGTCCTGACATTAACTGCTTGCTTGTTGCTTTATGCATCTTGCACTATTTTGTACACCTTGAAAAGGCAAAAGTATGTATTCTCACTGTCTTACTATGTCACACCAGATGCATTATATGCTTTTACCAATTGTACAACATTGCTCAATCGTTCAACATGAATAGCCTAAATTTTAACATCATTAGCACTGCACACTAAAGCCTTGTGTCTAATGCCATACTTATACACACACCTTTATGTCACATTTGACATTTACCACTGATCATAAGTCTTATTAAAGTAGATTTAACTATACACACCTCACATTTTTCTATGCCACTTCCTTGTGGTCAGTTTCAGCTCAGAGCTTGTTTAATTGTGTGAGTAGGTCTGGCATTCCTCAATTGTTTCTTGTTGCTTAAACCTGCTAAGTGTCGTTGAATGTACTGCTGGTAAAACTATGAGCTGCATAGACGGAGGAAAGAAGCTGCCACACGAGGGCACACATGCAGTGCAATGGAGGCTAAAGAACTATAAAAAAAATTAATGTTAGTGGAAGATGATTATGTTCACATGGGCATGATGCCCCAGTTAAAAATAACCATTGAGTCCAATTAGGATATTCATTTGGAACCAATTAGAGTCAATGGAATTCAGTTGGTTCTGGGTTATCCAACTAGTCATTCTAATTAGTTTCAATGTTTCCAATTGGTTATACCAATTAGGACCAACAAAATTCAATTAGTACTGGGTCACCTAATTGGTCACTCTAATTGGGTTTAATGTTTCCAACGGGTTATTCCAATTGGGATCAATAAAATTCAGTTGGCTCTGGGTTACCTAATTGGTACTCTAATTGGATTCAATGTTTCCAACTGGTTATCCCAATTAGGATCAATAAGATTCAGTTGGCACTGGGTCACCTAATTGGTCACTCTAATTGGATTCAATGTTTCCAACTTTATGTTTTCAGTGTTTCCAGTTAAATTTTATTGATCCCCGATTGGGATCAACAAAATTCACTTGGCACTGGGTCACCTAATTGGTAAAACTAGTTGGGTTCAACATCTCCAACTGCTGCTAGGTCACCCAATTGGTCATTGTAATTGGTTTGAAATGTAGTTTCTGCAGTTGATGGCTGCATACTTTACGAATTAACTACCGTTCTAGACAGAACTTGCCATTTTCTCTTTATCCTCACCCCGAAATGAGTTTCCAATGATCGCATTACATTTTCTTTTAGCTTCAATTGACAATTTTTTTTCAGTATTGTGTTGCAATCAATGTCTTCAACATCGCAACTTGTACTCTATGATACATCAATAATAACGAGAATATGTGCATTATCTTGTTAACCTGGGGGATTAAGCAATTCCTGAATAGCCTCACACCCATTGCATGACCCACGCACAGCACCCCAAGTGGCGTTTCTTCTTCTCCAGCCGCCCTTTCTGTAGAGCATCTCATAGCTTTCCCAGCTGTACAGCTTTGTTTAGTACTAATCCTCAGTGTAATCGTTTTTTTAGTTTTGCTTCTTTTTGTTCTCACAGTGACAAAGCATGTTACAGTGGCAGCTCTCACGCACCTGCATAGTCCCGTTTTTAAGTGATGTATACGGCAGCTGCATTTGCTTGAGAGGAGTGCACTTCCCACGATGATGTAAATTTATGTTGACTATGCCGCTAAGCAAAGTATTGACCCCCGCAAAAATCTCAAAAGAGGCCTGCCTCAGTTTTCAAATAAATTTAATTTCGGGGTAGTATTTGACACGCATGTTTACGAACTGTAAACATAGCTGAACAAATGCTTTGCCCAACTGAAACCCTCTCCAGTTCCTGACCCAAAGAGCCGTGCTCTTTTTGGCCAATTTGGGGCAAAACACTTGTGTTTTGAGATCTTTGACGGCACAGTGCAGGAATGCTTCTGTCACCACAATGCTGGCACCAAACAACTAACCATCCATCTTGTTTTCTTTTTCTTTTTTTTTTTTCTTCTCCTCTCTCCCCACTTTTCTGGCTTTTCTTTTTGCCCGTGTTGCTGCCGGAGTCGGTCTGTTTAAAAAGGGTGTCAGGGCAGTGCAGGCAGTTAGTCGAGCAAGTAGGTTGCCTTCACAATATATCTCTCTGTTAAATGTTGTGGATGTAGTTACATGTTTCAGCAGCCCGAACTGGCATTTGAGCCTGAACGGAGCCTGGAGCCTGACTGCACTGGGGCACTTTTTCAAAATTGCTTTTTGTTGCACCCCCTGACAACTCAGTGTGACCCAAACATCAGACAATCGTGGAACTGTATTGGAGATATAAGTGCGCCTTACTCCTCTTTAGCTGATTTGGCTCGCACCAGGCATTTAGGACCTTTGATGATGAAATTGGTACATAGTGCGAACTTGCGCAAGTTTTTTCCTGGAGAAACAGTCATGGTATGGCATGAGATGATTCACCCAATGCCATAATATGACTGTACTTATTGTAGTCTATTGCACAATTTAATTGAGATTTTAAACATTGGCATAAAACATTGTGGAGGTTTTGGCTCTATCTGTGATTTTGGTACACATATCTCACATGCAAAAGAAAGGTATGCACGTTTTGAGGAAAATGTCACACACTTAGTTAACCCACTAAAATATTCTATTTCTCCAAATTAACTTTTGAATGTTACACAGCAAAGGAACCATGTATGCTTAATTTTAGATAAGGTTGAGAATAAAAACATTAGAATCCTGCAGATATCTTTTGTTTTTTAGAAGCCAGCATGACTTAAGCGGGGGGTTCATAGGAAAGTAATCTATAAGACATTTATGTGGTAACGCAGGCAAATGTGATAGATGAATCAAATCAAAAACATAAAATTTCTGCCATATTTGTTTTTTGAAGGTAGCAACTTTTGGATTCTTTAATTTTAGAAGCCAGGAGTAGTGTGTTGTCAGATAATAGTATCCTAAGTTTTTTTTTGTTTTTTTTTGTATTTTCTAAAGAGGAAATAATTTAAATCTGCAGCTAAGTGAACCATGCTGGTCATAGGGGTATGAATACAAGTTCATATGTTAATTTTGTTCTATTCTAAATTGTATGAAAAACTGTTTCTTTATATAAACGTATTACTTCTCATGTTACTTAATTTAACAGAAAGGGGACGTGACCTGTGCTCATTTGCACTCCCGATAAACTAAAAAATATTGATGAACTTAGTATTCAAATGGTATATTTTAGGCCATAGTTAAAGGGATTACCTATGACACTTACACCTGCAAAACTTTATGAAAAGTGCTCTGAAATGTAATGGTTCATTGAAGACACACCAATTGGAATCCACAGTGCAGTCAGGCCAGAAAGGAATAGAGTCCTTGTCAAACTGTTGCAATGTGTAAATGTGATGTAAGTATGCCTTGTGAAAGCATCAATTCCTGAGTAGATGCAAGCATGGCATTGTCCAGTATGTGTCGATCCACATGCGTGCTCCCTGTCTTCCACTGTGCAAGCATGTTCCTGTCGTGTATTTATGTTGAGCATGGCCAATGTCGACTAATCTTTCTTCGCAGAAGCATCATGTGCTACGTCTATTATGAAATGCACCTCAAACATGCTTCAGTACACAACATTCATACTGCAAGCAAACAGACTTGTGTGTTAGTACCAATCCCCTGGCACTGTCTCATCATTGTGCTCCTAAAAGATCCAGCACTAATCCTGCCTCCCTCCAGAATCCTTATACATGTTTGCTACTTAATTATAACTAGTAGCTGTCCGGCTTCCTGCAGCATATTATTTCAAGAAGGGTTATTATTTATATACAGATGTCTTAGCACCACTTGCAGCACAGACAGCTGAGAAAAAGAAAACTGTGCCCTTAGTAAGAACTTGTCATTTTTGTATTTTTATGCAAACATAAGATTGTCTCTATGGCGTTTTATATTTCAGTGAACTTACTACTGCAATACTTAGAGAAAACCTGGAAGCATTTCAGTTGGTATTCAAGAACTAAATTGTGAACTAAAATATAACTGCCATAATATTCCAAGTCAACACTTGACTTACATTTCTTTTCTCCTTTATATACACACATTTTTTAATTTTAAAATTCTAAAAATAAAAATTAAGCATTTTAATTAGTTGAAGATATAAGAATCGGTTCTTTCGATCAAGGCACTTCCTTGGAATGTTATGGTAGCACTCATTTCAGCCTCTATGATTGTGTGTTTGTTACATATTCAGTCTTGTCCTTGTCAGTTGGTCTTTGTCCTGTAACAGATTATGTTTTTTGTATGATATCTCTCTATGCTCTCTTGGCATGCCTAGCAGAACCTGCGTGCTATCTCTCATCTTCTTGTCTAGAAGGTGCCTCAGTTGTTTGCAGTTTGAGAGACTGAGTAGAGAATGTAGACTGTGTAGCGCATGCATGTGACATGGTAGTACTTACTGTTGTGCATTGACCCAAATCCTTTCCGGAAAATTGCCTGACACACTTTAATGCCGCAACGGTAACCCGGGTGGTTTCCTGTTCGCTGCCTCACAGATGAAGGACTGCATAACTCCAATGTCCCCACTTTTACACCACCCGAAATACCCAAGAGAGTCAAGTTACGAGGTAGTTTTCCCTTGACTAATATTCTGTTGCATGCCTGGTGTCTACTTGTGTGTTTGTGTCCAGTAGTGACTACCGTAGTTAGAGCAAGTGACATATAGTTAGCTCAAAAATATCAAGCCTTGTTAACTTGTAGTTTTAGTGAATATACTTCACACTTGCACAGTTCATGGTTTTTTCCCTAGGTGGGAAAGGTAGCACTTTAAAGATTTCCTTAATGTATTCCTTAGGCAAACTTGAGTCTTTTTCATATGTGCTAGCTGGCACTTCTTTGTGATGTTTTATAATAACTGCATATGACAAGGAGAAAATTAGGAATTTATTGATATGATATTAAACATCTGGCAACCATTTCAGAAGAGAGATACTCTGAGGAGCTCAGCTGAATTTGTTGTACTCTATTAGGTTTCTTCATTGGCCATGCATTAACCTACAGCTGATTGTTGAGTTTGAAAGCTGTGCCTTTTATAAGAGTAAATTTTTGTATATTTAACGTTGCACTGTTTTGAACTTCTGTTGACTGGCACGTTTTGTTTTGTTTTTATATAGTCGAAGAAGAAAGCTTTTCCTACGTAGGTATGTTCATGAAACATATTTTTCCGTAGCTCTAGTGCTTTTTTCAAGTTTGCTCGCTCTGTGGTTCTTCCATCTTTTTGTTTTAAAGCACTTCAAAAGTGCTAATATATTTTTCAATTTTAAAATTGTACATCCATTTTTTGTATATTTAGTTTATAGAACATATCTCAGTGAACTAGGGTGACCATATTCCTCAAGGTAGAAGACAGGACATCCCAGAGGGGGGGGGGGGGTTCAGTTACATGCACTCATTTGGAAGGTCCTGCTTCGGGTCCTTCGTTGGTGTGGGCGTATTTTGCAGATGACTTAAATTTCCTAACCGGGACTTTATCTTTGCAAGACTCGGCTGTAAATGTATGCGCACATATATGTATAAAAAAAGAATCATGTCCCGAAAACTGGGCATGATTCTTTACTGGGACAAAAAGACTGCACGGCAGAAGCAGACCTCAAAAACGGGAGTGTCCCGGCCAAAACGGGACGTCTGGTCACACTACAGTGAACTCACTTACTTTGCTAAAATTGTAATCTTGATATAATTAAAAACAGGTTATGTAGAGCTTGTAGGATCGGCAGGATTAATGTAAATTACCAAGGAAAATAAAAAGCATAAGCAAATGCACCCCAGCTGCCACCAGCATGCTTTTCAGTTTATTTCTACTGTAACCTATTTGAGCTAATTTTTACAAACTCATGAAAATTAGCCAAACAAATCAGGTGGAACAGGTTTCAAAAATAAGTTTAAAAGATAGTTGATGTCACAGGCTGACATGCCTTAGCATGTTTCCTACCTTTACTGGAGCTGGTATGTTCTATAACACTTTTACACGTCTTGCTACACTCACATCAGTTTGCACTGTCACGAACCACTCATCAGCCCTCGTGTCTTACACCTCCTTAGCTACACCACATTTACTGCTAGTTATTCCAGAACAAGATTCAATAAAAGAAGCAACTTGTGAAGCCTGTGATATATGATGATGGTAACACATATTTTCGGTATATCTGCAATAAAGCGTGAGACACATGTGCGAAAAATCCATCCGATCGGACGTCCGATCCGGCAGTACGACTGCCTGATCCGAAAGATTTGGTCGCTTCAGACGTCGGATCGGCGATCCGACATGCGTCCAACGCACCAGATAGTTTCGCACGGTGGACGGATTGTCGGATGCGTCCAGCCAATGACACCACAGCTAGCACGAACGTCATAATGACGTACTGGGTCTGTCGGGACGAATAAGAATACGGGAGGGGCGATGGGAAGCCGGACGCGTGGATCCCGCTGACCCATTCGAGAAAAATGGCCCCGGCAAAGAATGCACGCGCTAACGAGAATGAGCTTTTAACTTCGCTCGTGTGAGCTAAACCGTCAATCTGGGACCAGAGATCTGTGAACGCGAACCTCCGCTGGGGTGCTTGGATCTCCTGGGCGGAGCCGAACGGATCGTCGTGTCGCATGCAAGGTCAGAAGCGTGTGTCTCAAACTGTCGCGTGCGGCAATTCGAAGCGGCTTTCGGACTGTCGGATCGGATGTCGGATCGGACGATTCTGCCGTCCATGTGTCTCGCGCTTAATTGCTGGATGTTTTTACTTTTTTAAGATGAAAGTAGAGTTTATGCATATACAGAAACGAAACAAAACTGGAATCTTGCTTTGGTAATGTACACTATATGTCACATGGTCTGCGTCCATGCTTTAACACAACTGGAATAAGTGCTGCCCCCAGCAAAAAGGTATTACCCCCAGACTGATTCTATGCGTGTATCTTTGCTGCACTGCAGCCGTGCTTTAGGGAATAGGCACTTAACCAAGATGGATGATACCAAATTCAAACTATTCAAAGTTACTCTAAAATATTAGAAATTTTCAAAGTGTTCTTTCTAATTACTTGATGAACTCTTCGAGCCCTTTGAGTGAACTCGGATGCTCTGCCTCATCAGCTGCCACTTCTAGCGCATTGGTGCGAAGTGGTGAAGCTTAAGGTGGTGCCAGTGCAAAACATGGATCTTGAAGTGCACTTTGCATGAACTCCTAAACTCCACGCGAAATAAAACTAATGGAACCAGGGCAATCGAGCACAACAAATGATTGTGGATGCACATAAAAAAAAGATCAATTGATAAACAAAGTGCCATTAAAGCCTGAAGCCTAATCTAGTTTAAGGTCACGTCCACCCTTGCAAGAAGCACAGTGCAGGGAGGTGAAATGCTTTAAAAAAGGTGAAGGGGAGTGAAACGAAAACGGTAACAACAGCCAGACATGCCGAACAAACAACCAAAAAGGCAAACTCAGGAAACGGTAAATTTACGATCATATTCCTGTTGGAGTTCATCAGGACTGGCATTCATGAATGTAGCTTTTGGAGAAAATCTATCAACCAAGAAAATGTCAGTGAGGTTCTACTTTGGGGCTTTATAATTATGATACAGGACTTTCAAGCAGGGAAAAATCGGCTTGCTTGCATCTAGTTTCATTGTTACTTTCACTGTGATTATATAGCCTTCTCGTCATCTTTCATTAAAAGAGCATCCTTGAAATAAAACAATGTTTCAAAAATACTTAAAGATGAAATATTGAATATATTCAATTGAGGTTATTTTTGTACTTGTTTTGTTTGCTTCCTAACAAATAATTTGTGCATGGCTTTGCACGTACTCGTCTGCAACAATGTTTAATCTTCCTACTGAAGGGAGTCACTAAGTCATCCAGCGCTAACCTTGGTCCAAGCATCACAATTTTTAAATCATTGGCATTATTTATTAAACATTTTTGCTCGGTAAGTATACTCATATGTGCAGCAGATCTAATAGCATATTATAACCAAAGCGTCACTTTGAATTATGGCAGTGCATGCACAAAATAAATGGCAATCTTTTAATGCATAAAATTCCTATCAAGACAGGGCAGAGTGTAGGGCTTCAGGAAGGGACAAATTTCACAAAGGCTACCTGTAGCTATATTATATAGTTGTAATATATCCCATGTGGTCACAGATGTCTCAAGGACGTTTTTGGATGTCTTCTCCGGGCACCGCTAGGGAGTATTTATGATTTAATTACACAACATTAATTATATCTTAGTCTTATAACATATCCTAGCATTAGTATAGCCCAGGGGTAACCAAGCTGCCACTCGCGAGCCGCTTGCGGCTCTTTGTGTGCTAAAGTGCGGCTTGTGGCTCCTTAGTAAACCTACCCCACCCACCCCCCGCCTCCTTCACAGTCACAGGAGCACTTCCGCAAAAAGAGAAATGGAACACGTTTTAAATTGAAAGGCAGCTTGCGGTTCTGCAGTCTTGTGTTGCTGCTACCTTATGCATAGTTGGACTGCTTTGGATACATCTAAAGTAGTTTGTTTCATTTATTGCTCTGAACAAAAGTTTGCACCCCTCCCTTTTTCTGCCTTTCCTCTCCCAGGTAGCTCTTGGAAGTTTCATGGTTTTGTTTGTGGCTCTTAGGCCTGGTCAGCCTGGCCACCCCTGGTATAGCCTTAGATTTTAGATTTGGCATTTCTATATGATGGCTTAAATTAATTATTTTCATTGTTTCATAAACGGTTCTCTTTTTCACCATATTTCATGAGGCATATACTACTATTTCCTGAATAAATAAATTAAACATGACCCAAAGATGTACTTGATTGATCATATATATTAAACACCAATATTTAGCAGCCTTGATAAGTTTGTAACTTGACGTCAAGACAGGGATCGGGTGGAGTTCCAAATTGAGTGTCGGTAATTTTTTATAGATGGCCCCGAGTTGAACTTTGTTTAGTGTTCGACATGTCCCTGGGTCATCTGTGGCTGTAGGCAGAGAAAGCACTCAGATCAATCTTTCATGTGTGCAGTTTTCTACTGCAGTCTAGCCTCAGCCAACTTGCTTGTTGCCGAGCTGGTTTTCTTGCAGTTTAGGTGTCTAATGGGGGAATTTAGACGGTTGGATACAACCTTAGCCAGTGGCCTAGTCTGAAGCAAACATCCTTGCACATTGCCTTCCTTCCATTTCCCATCCCAGCCACCCAGCCCCAAGTGGGCAACAACAACGACCAGAACCGTGTGAGCTCTGCGCCGAAACCGAAGCCAAGTACAAAGAAACACGACCAGAGCAATTCGCTCACTTCCCCCAACGAACGTGGAGGGCGCTCTGCACCTCCATCCTACGCCAGGTAAGTCTCTTCCTCGTAATCTCAAGTTTCCTTTGCAGGGTGAATCTGTTTCTAGATCTCTCACTGGACAGGCCATGTGTTATAAGGTTGTTTTTCTTTTGAACCATTGCTCTGGTGTGATTTTTTCTCAGATCTTCCCTGTGTAAAACTCTGTTTCATCTCATTGCTGTGTCATTGCTCATCACATGTGTGGCCTCATTGCTGAGGGCCACACATGTGGTCCTCAGCAATGTGAGGGAATACCTGAACTTGTCAACGGGTACTTTTTATTATTTATTAACACCACAGAAAGTGAGAAACTTCAGTTCACCATTCTGAAACTAATTTTTTGGACAGGAATGGGTTTCGATGGCTGCTAGCCTTTCACTGTGATGTTTGGTTGCATTGGTCATCTTGCAGCTAATTTAAAATTTTTCTTCTCAGGTATAGAAGATGCATGTTTGGCTTCTCGGGGAAAAAAAAAGAAAACTGGCTTTACATTCGGCTCGTGTAAAATGTTTAAAAACTTTTGCTTTGTGCAACTTAATTGAATACCGTTTTATTGCGGGGTATCCTTGCTCATCACGAAAGGATTCAAAATGCAAAGCCGTTTATTTTCATGATATCTGTAGGTTGTCATTTGTTTTGCAAACTAAAATTAAGTTATTCGGTAAATTGAGGCTTTACTTTATAGAAGGTGCAGTTGGATTATTGGGTAAGCCAATTCAATTTCCTTTTGCAGTGTGCACACCACTCCAACCTTTTTGTTTTGCATGTTGCTGTGAATTTTAGAAAAGTCACAACACGGCTGTTTCATTCAATTTCAAATATACAACAGTGGTCTTTAATACTGAAAGAAAACAGCCTCGTAATCGTTCAGAATTTTTTGTTTTTTCATTTGGAAGCTTTAATCTTCTCTGAATAAGGTCAGCACACACTCGTATTCCAAAGCCGATGCTACACACTTGTTATTGTAAGCACAAATTTTGGTTAGCCAATGAATTTGTTCCTACACAAAATCTTTAACCCTAAAAGCTAAAACTTTGAAAAAAAAATTTTTTTTGTATCTGTTAAAATAAACAGGGGTACCTAATAGTCACAAATGTAATGATTTCGTATCTCATGGATTTCAGATTTATCACACTTGCATCACGCAAGTTACACATAGCCCTCCGTTTTTCTTTTTGAGGACCTTCTGCTCTTGCATTGCAAGTTTGCTCTCTCTCTATGGTGCAATACATCTTGCTCTCATTCAAGTTGCACTCTCTTCCTTTGTGGTGGTGGTGGTGGTGCTGGTGGTGGTGGTGTGTATCTGTGCCCGTGAAGGTACAGCCATTGTGTGTGCACTCACTGTGTGGCGTGGCAAAAGAAAAAAGAAATGTAAAAGCAGAGAAAGCTAGAAAGGCAGGCTTGTCTGCACTCGCGTGCAACACCTCACGACACACCCCGTATGTTCCCCTTCTCTTTTCAGTCCTGTCTCTGACACTTGCCACGTCACGCGGACGGCTGCGCCCGACATGTTTGCTGGCTTACACCTTGCCTATGAGGTCAAAAAGCTCATGTATGCTTTCTTTTCTCTCACTCTCTGTCTTCACTCCTTGCCCATTCTTCCTCTCTGCTCTCTGTATTACTTTCTGCCTTTTCTCTTTTTCCCTTGGTTCCTTTTCTTGGTATGTGGTCTGGGGTGGGGTCAGGATGGGGAAGCACTGGTGCGGCGGCTAGGCGTTGCGTGTCTGTGGCCCTTTTTAAGTGATGTGCCTGTATGTATGTTTGTGTGTCTTTTTTTTTCCTTGGTTACCTCCTTTTGCATTCTTTCTGGTTCCTCGTCGTTTGAACGAAAGGATACACCTTAGCACACATTCACTGCGGAAGCTTTTGCATCTCCATTTGTGGCAAAAGGCACGGTCAATGTTTGAGATTCTTTACCTTTTTATTGGAAGCTTTTGTGCAATGACTACTATGAAGGAGCGCAGTTTGTATCTTACTTTAACTTTTAATGCAGAATTGCATTTTAATTGAACCTACCTCTGATTTTGGGAGAGTGGGAAGCACCGCGTGGCATAGTGGAAGCTATGAGAGTTAGCCAACTGCCAAAAGCTTTGGAAAACGACAGCACAATAACAAAAGAGGTGAAAGAGAGGGGCGAGACGCTTCGTAAAGATGTGTAGGCACGTGGAAGGAAGACTGAGACTGATAATGAGCATCGGTAGCATTGGCTATGTTTCTTATAAAAGGTACATATGATGGGTTGATTAAGAAATAAAAATACAGCTGCAGATTTATTTTCCGTGGAGCTTTTGTAAAGTAACCAGCTCTTATAATCATACTTGACCGTACTAATTAAAGGCAGTAAGGCCTATGAAGGACAATTTGATTGTGGTGGGCAAAAGCACTATTAGTCACCAGTAGATAAGTTTTACACTCAAATTTAATGCAAAGTGCAAGTTCGTCTGCTTTTTGCACAGGGGTCAATAGCGATGATGTCAGAACGCCAAGCTCTTATTGGTTGATAGAAAAAATGGTGGGTAGACCTCAAGGTATCTAGCGTTGATGTCTACCCACTATCCTTTCAATCAAAACCAATCAGAGCTCGGCATCGTACTGACATCACCGCAAATACTGTGCAAACAGCAGACAACTTGCTTTCCACATAGCTTTCTTCTTGATTTAGGACAGCTCATATTGTAACTTTAGCAAGCCCTTACATGTTAAAGTGATAAAAAGCTTTGCTTCTAAGAATAGGTTTTTGTGTTTTATGAGGTAGCATACGACGGTCAAGTGTTTCAAGATGCGTCTTTGGTGCATCGGAGCGCAGGAAGAGGCACATCAATCAGAGGGCAGCCAAGCGCACTCTGTCATTCATTGAGGTCGGGGGGAAACAAATGCACGAGGTGCACATAGAGCAGACAAATTGGCACGTCCATATTGGGTAGACTTAACGATTCTTCAATGTCTGCTGCCAAAGTCACTTTCAGTTTAATGGAGTTTTTTTACAAGATATTAAGAGTCATACTGAATTTTAATTAGATGTTCTGAGAGTATTCAAAATGCAAAACTAACACACCCATGGACAATTCAAGTGCACTCTCTGAATTAATATCTGCCTGTGCCCTTGGCATTACCTTGCATACATATTAAAAAGTTTCAAGTTTAAAATAGGTAGATCACTTCTTGGGCCTAGGTTATTGTAAGCAACTATTGCCTTTGAGAAAATTCCTTGCACAGTTTTCAAGTAGTCACTGCATGTCCATGACAGTCTGGATCTTGCATTGCATGCAAACATGCCTGAGGGCTGAAAAGAGCAAGCTGCTTATTGCTTCTTCACATCCGCTTTTGCTTGCTGCTGGAACACCCTGGGCTTTGAACCTAGCTAGTCACACTGTCAAGCTTCCTATGAGATAAGGGCGGCTTCTCACATGTGCCCTCTTTAAAGGGCAGCTTGTAACAGGATGACTCATCTTGTAGGAAAATTAATCATCATGCAGATGATCAAGAGAACACCAGGAAAGTAGTAAATTCTGAAAACATAAAATGACAAGGCTGTCATCTTTGTCTGGAAGAGCCGCAAAAACCAATTAAACGAGAACATATCAAGACGAGGTCACATATATGACAAAGGGCCATATCCAACGCCTTATCCTATGCCATACCCAGAAAAACCACAGAAAGCAAACCATAAGGAACTGCGAGTTTACCTAATTATGTTCAAGTCCTTGTTTAAAAAAATAATTAAAAAATTAAAGATGTTCACAACACCCTGTAATGCCAAATTAGAGCGCAGCTCTTGAGGATAAGGAGAGAAGGGTACTGAGGGGAGGGTATACCCCTCCTCTCTCCTCCTAACCTCCTCATCCTCTCATCTTCCCCCTTCCTCCTCCTCCTTCCTCCTCCCTCCTTCCCCCTCCCCTCCCCCTCGTCCTCCTCCCCACACGTCGCATCATGGGAAATGTCCCATAATGCACTGCGCAGGACCCTCGTGACGTCACGAGGGTCTCGTCCATAATGCACCGCGTGCGACCCACACGCAGTGCATTATGGGACATTTCTTATAATGCACCACGCGGTTACGCTGACAGCATAACCGCGGGGTGCATAACGGTGCCCGTTTCCGGCCAAGCCGGAAACGGGCGCCTAAGAGCTGCGCTCAAAAAATATTAAAGTGGTGTGACCATTCGTTGGAGTCCCTCCTAACCTCCTTATCCTCCCATCTTCCCTTCTCTTCGCCCTCCTCGTCCTCCCCCTCCACCCTCGTCCTCCTCCCCCTCCTCCTCCCCCCACACGTTGCATCATGGGAAATGTCCCATAATGCACTGCGCAAGACCCTCGTGACGTCACGAGGGTCTCGTCCATAATGCACCGTGTGCGACCCACGCGCGGTGCACTATGGGACATTTTTTATAATGCACCACGCGGTTACGCCGACAGCGTAACCGCGTGGTGCATTATGGTGCCCGTTTCCGGCCAAGCTGGAAACGGGCGCCTAAGAGCTGCACTCAAAAAATGTTAAGGTGGTGTGACCATTCGTTGGAGTCCCTCCTAACCTCCTTACCCTCCCATCTTCCCTTCTCTTCACCCTCCTCGTCCTCCCCCTCCCCCCTCGTCCTCCTCCCCCTCCTCCTCCTTTCCACACGTTGCATCATGGGAAATATCCCATAATGCACTGCGCAGGACCCTCGTGACATCACGAGGGCCTCGTCCAGAATGCACCGCGTGCGACCCACGCGCGGTGCACTATGGGACATTTCTTATAATGCACCACGCGGTTACGCCGACAGCGTAACCGTGTGGTGCATTATGGTGCCCGTTTCCGGCCAAGCCGGAAACGGGCGCCTAAGAGCTGCACTCAAAAAATGTTAAGGTGGTGTGACCATTCATTGGAGTTTTACTATGGTATGTACAGGCAAAAATGCCCATTGCTTATTGTATCTTTGTTTTTCTGGGAGAAACAAGAATTACCTTCACACAGTGCCAGCTTTTCTTAAGCATCAGGTTAGAGGGAAAATACGTACTAATAGCATACTAATACCCAGTGCTGCTTTTAATACTGCCAATCTTGAAAAAAAAATAAAGAATTTTGTTTTCTCTACTGTCTTCAATATACAGGTTGTTTCTGCAAAAGCTTTCAAAAATCCCTAGAAATATGCTGTTTGAAATAAAAAGAAACTCTTTGCAGGGACAAACCACTAGCCATGGTGGACGTCAAGGATTGCAAAAACATACTAATTAGCGAGATGATTAACTAAAATTTACTAATTATTTTTTTGAATTGTGAAAATAAACAGGGTTCCACTGAGAAAGTTGTTCAGCATCATCGAAAACCTCTAAATCAACTTTTTTTTAGAAAGCTATAAGGCAGGGGCATTATTTTACGGTGTTCTGCAAAACAATCAGTTTGGACACGTTTCTGGGCTTCGGTTTTTTATCAGAGCACATCTTCGCACCTGCAGTCCTGCTCCTTGGTAGTCGCAGCACAAAGCCACCGCCTCTCCTTCCTCGTAGGATAAAGGGAAATACGGTGCACATGTGTTGCACATCTCTACCACGAAGGAGCAGGACCGCGGGTGCAGAAATGCGCTCCGATAAAAAACCGAAACTTGGAAACGCGTGCAAATTGAGCGTTTTTATGGAACGCCGTAAAATGCTGCCCCTGCCTTATATTTTTATAAAAAAGAGTTTATTTGGTGGTTTTCGATTATGCTTAGCAAGTTTCTCAGTGAAATAATGTGCTTATTTTAACTAGTAATTTAAAAATTAATTTGTAAATTTTAGGGAATTACCTCACTAATTAGTATGTTTCTGCAATCCTTGACGTCCGCCAAAAACTGGTAGTTTGTTTTTTTGCAAAGAGTTTCTAGTAAGTTCTGGAAGTTCTTATCTGGAACAAAGAATAAATAAGTTGAGTGTATATGTGTTGGTGGCTGCCAAGTAACTGATCCTAAGGAGATTGCGATAGGGTTTCAGTACTTCCAGTCTTTTTTCAATATTCGTAGGCAAACGTCAGACAATGAAGCGAGTTGAGTTAGGAGGCTATCTCTAACCTTTTGCTCGATCTGGATATTAAGAAAGCAAGTGGACCAGACAATATACCATCAGCGTTTCTTAGGTGCTAAGCTGAATGGGTGTCCTGTTACTTGTACATTATTTTTTATCTGTCATTGCGAAGACGGACCCTTCCATCAGACTGGCGTTGTGCACGCGTTGTGCCGGTTTTGAAAAGTGGGGACGCACAAAGTGTGTACAATTATAGGCCAATATCCCCTACTTCTGTTCGCTGAAAAATGCTCAAGCATATTATTAGTAAACATATTACGGATTATTTGGAAACCAATCACTTGCTTAGAAGTGCACAGCATGGCTTTCGGCATAGGTTGTCAACGGTCATACAAGTGGTTACAACATTTCACGACTTCGCGCTAGCATTTAATAAAAGATAACAGCTTGATGCCATTTTCCTAGATTTCACAAAGGCCTTTGATAAAGTACCGCACAACAAACTCACACAATAACTATATGCAATAGGAATATGAGAAGCAGCCTAGTTAAATTTATCCATTCATACATTATGAATCGCTCCTAATTTGTAGAAATTCACCACCACTCTTCAGGTCCCTTGCCGGTCACGTCGGGCATCCCGCAAGGATCAGTTCTGGGACCATTCTATATCTTATTTATATAAATGACATTGTTGAAACTCTGTAAAATACAGCTTTCTGCTGATAATTGTGGGGTGTATAAAGAAATAGAATGCAGTGAAGATCAAATTAAACTAAACTGAAGTCTTCAAAACGTATTCCAGTGGTGCGAGGAGTGGCAAATGCCATTAAATTTGGATAGATGTACAGTACTCCGAGTGACAAACAGAAAGACAGTAGAAACGTTTCCTTACTCAATTGGTAGCGTTAGGCTTGGGGAATCAACGCCAACAAAAAACCTCAGTGTGACAATTACTAAAAACTTGGGTTAGGACGCTCACATTTCCAATGTGTGCTCTATTGCACTCAAGACTCTGTGGTCTCTAAGGAGAAAGGTACCATTAGCCCACCCTCTGCTAAACTTGGCGCTTATAGAACGTCAGTAAGGCCACACTTAGAGTATGCTTGCTTGCTTTGGGACCCATACATGCAAAAGAACACTGAAGAACCAGAAAAAATACAAAAACTAGCAGCAAGATATATTTGCAATAGATTCCGGCGATTAGACAGTCCATCACAAATGCTTCGATTAGATTATCTTCGTTTACCTCGAAAACACCCAAGACTCAAGTTGTTATACTTGCTTTACCATGGACACCGTAGGTTTACGTTTCCCCCACATAACACCTGTTTTACATTGAGACACGCGATTCAATCACAGAAGGTTACTGGAACCATACCGCAGTAACAATATCATTTAAAAAAAATTTTTTCCAAAAACAATAACTGATTGGAATGGACTCCCTTAAGAGATTTTTGACAGCTCATCGCCAGATGACTTTCTTGTACAGCTACAAGCTCTACAAGCTTGACGGTTTTATTCAATTGTTTTTTTTTTTTTTGCTATTTTGTGGTGTTAGAGTGTTGTTTTATTTTATTGAAGTTTTTCCTTTTTTTATTATGTCCTGTACTATGCATTACACGTCCACCCATGTCCGGGCCCTAGCAGGGCGCCAGTACTGTTAAATAAATAAATAAAAATCTTGAACAGAAAATTTTTAGGGATTTTTAAAAGCTTTTGCACCCTGATTAAATTCATGACCCTGAAAATAAATTTTAACTCACTGCCATAACAATATGCATTACTGCTTAACAAAAGCACTGCCAAAGCTTTGAATACTTTCATTTCAGATCACTAGATAGGCTGTTCCCAACAGAGCATAAGCATGTATCAGAGGGCAAACATGTCAGATTGTTTTGAGTATATTTTGCTTATGTACAGTGGGTAGGGCCACAGTCAGTAATAAAGTACCCAGTTGACCAAGGTGAAAAACTATACTGAAATCCCTTATACAATGCTGCGCTCATTTCAGCACCATATCTCAGGAGTACTGCCTCTAGCCACTGTATGGCTGCAAGTGTAGTTCCTCTTAGGATCATTCAACTTTTCTGGCCTTTGTCGCTGTTGAAGCAGCTTTTATTACCTCGACTGGATACTGTAAACGACTCAATTATCGCGAAGACCACATTTTCACAAATCGCCTGTGTTTCACTAAAAATATGTCCCGCAAACAATTGCAATCAAATGTAAACAGATTGAAATTTATATTGAGATTCCACTACGTCACGAAAATTAAAACCCGTGAATTCTTCCAAAACTTCAGCTTTGACCTAAATTGCAAAATATTGAGCCCATGAAAAATAAGTTTTTTACAGTATTTAATAGTAGGTAGCACTAAAATAATTGTCTGACATTCATCAATGACTGCTTGTGATTGTAGCTAGAATTTGTAAGCTTATAAAGAGACATAGGATAAGTGCACTATTAAGTAAGTTTGTTCTTGACCAGCATGTAGCTCTTACCATAATACTGCATTAACTCGATTATAACTGTACTGCATTAACTCTATAACAATTGACCCATAGTCAGTTCTTCTCATGTGTGCCATAGGCAATGACTGACTACACACTACAGAATGAGCTTAGCAAATAACCAGGTCTAGAAAGTGCTTTTTCCTAGAAGTGCAATCTGGAATTAATTCTGAGCACATAAAATATGTTTGGGTTTACAGTTCAGACTGCATTCTTGTGTGAGACTTCTAGCTGTTCCTTGTCATTTTCTTGATGCATTCCATTTCATAGATAGCCCTGAGTGGCTACAGGTATGTTACAAATACAGAAAGAGTTGGTTTATCAATAGCTGAACACTATTTGAGTAAAGAGTATAGAGAGCTACTTAAAAAGCATTATTGTTAGTGAAAGTCGTAGAAGACATCCTATGACCAAGATAGCCTTATGAAGTTTAATGTACTATAGTAGGTCACGTAAGTTGAGGTTACAATTTACATTGCAAGACAAAACAATATTTTCTAACGAGTTCAATAACAAAATGTCACATTTCAGTAGAAGATGATTTAAGATAAACATGACTTCTCATACACCGTGTTGTCTGAGTCTGGGAAACTAACTGATCTACAAAGCCAACCAGTTCATCTGTCTCCGTGTCCTTCCATCACTTTTCAAAACAAAAATTCTAAAACAATGTCATACCAATTTTGTTTTATTATTAGTTGCATGTGCCTGTTAGATATAACAAAAAACGAAATGTGCAGTATGTGATGCAGTTGTGTCCTTGCCTTACCAAATAACTTTTATTTTACTTCTGTTTACTCTGTTTTTGCTTTAGTAGTAGTAGGTTTGCTTAACTCTATGTATGTGTAAAACAATGAATTTTTTTTTTGATTGAGTACTATGTGGGATAATGTTTAGGTGACCTTGTGCACAGGAGAACCTAGCCAATAATACAACACAAATTTCTTGTACCAGCATGCAACTGTGTTGACACTACTGTGTCATTGTGACTTATCCATACCCCTATTACGAGAAAGTAACAATAGCAATTTGCTCAGTTTGTATGTTTAAGTTCATGTATGCTTTATGAGACTTTATTTTATTGCAGTGATTCTAGCATACCCAGCCATAACTCTAAAATGTAAATGCATTTACAACATATTCAATGGAAACAGTTTTTTTTAATCTTGTTGGTGAATTTTCTTATTTATTTGCATTTATAAGGTCAATCTTAAATGTTGGTGGTAAATTTTCTAAATTAGCTATATCACGAGCAAACTTTGGCAAAATTTGTGAAGTGGGTAAGAATTGTTATACTTTTGTTATCTTATAAATAGCTACCATAGAAACTGTTCAAGCTAACATAGTATAATATGTCTGTATGTCTGCTTAGTATGTCCTTATTCGTTGCTGTCTTAACACATCTAAATTGTTGAAATTTGTTGTCAGTGGGAATTTTATGTGTATTATTTTACTATAATTTATCATTTTATTCTTCGTAAATGTCCTGAACATTCTTATGCAAAAGTTTGCGATAATAACAGTTCTCACTGAAGTAAGTTTGGATAAAAATTACTGCTTAGATTTTTTTAGCAGCTTCAGATATCTCACACATATGTCAAATACCCTTTGTTCAAAGGTGCAATCTAATTATAGTTACACAATGTTTCTCTAAGCCTGCAACCCAAATCATATTAATCTTTTCAACATCAGTGTTATAGTAGGTTTTAGATCCTCTCGAGCCTCTAGAATGTAGAGCTTTTGTTCTTCCAGAGTTTACTGAGCAGTCAGCGCAGAGGCCTAAAGCCAACATAAATTGGGGCACAATGAAATTGTCCATGTCGGATACCTGTGTAGCTCAGTCACGCCTTAAGTTGGACAGTTCAAGCATGAACCGTTAGTGTCCAAGCTCCCTAGCTTGTACACTAACGGTTCATGCTTGAACAGTTTCACAGCATAGCCAATGCCAAATTAATAAAAACGTGGGCAGATGAAATTGGATGGAATGTTTCTGACTTTCCAAAGCTCTCGGTTAGAGTTATATTTATCTATTTTTTGTTCTTTAATGTGCAATGCAACAGTTAACCACGTGACAGGCCCATCCTTGTCACATCATAAGGTGGCTGAAACTGGGACAAAGAGGTTTGCTGGTATAAAATATGTATGGTTAATGTTTGTTCACCATTACAGACATTGTCTCTTTAAACTAATAAATTGACCATTAGCATTGTTATCAACGACTTCATAGAAAAAACTTGAATTTTGTACTGTTCAACATGCTTCTAAGCCATACTCTCTGTCCTTTGCTGGCCACATAGAGAGTAGTAGCTATAGGTTAAGTTAGATTATGATATGTACATTCAATATGCTTTGGGCTGCGATAACTATGCTCAGGTGTCTGTGCTAGGTAAGCTTGTGTCAGGCAAGGGGGTTAGGCTTTGATTGCCGTTGTGATCGATCAGTCCTGTCTCGGTTCACGGCAGTGAGTTGTCTTGGGCTTTGTTTTGCCTGGTGCTGTGTGCAGGCCGACGAGCAGGGGGACCAATGGGACCGGAAATTCGCAGAACGAGAAGCCTTTCCCTGTGGGCCTGTCAGATGACCAGGCCAAGGATTTTGAGAAGACCGAGATGAAGTACGACTCCACCGGAATGTTCCACTGGTGCTCAGCACGCCCCATCGAAGACTGCATACTGGTGCGTCTGTTCCTCCTCATTCAGGTTTCATTTCAACCACTTTTGTGGCTTTGTTTCTTCGTTTTAGTACTCTTCATCACACGATTTCTTGAGCATCAAGTTTTCATTACAGTACTGCAATTCAGGACCTTTTGCATTCCTGACCTGTGATTCTTTTTGAAAGCATCAAAATTGAATCACTTCTAGAATTCCACAGAAAGTTGTCCTCGAATATAAAGCCAATGTGCTCATGCACGTCACCAAAAGAAGATTTCTCCTTTCACATGGGTGCAGTAGGGAGAAACACCGTATTTAGGGGGCCCGCTCATTCAAACTTGCTTTAAAGGCCAACAAGCAGCCAGAAAGGAGGAAACTCTCCCCCAATTCCACCTTTCCATTCGAGAAAGAAGGATACCCTCCTCCTTTCTGAAGGGAGTAGCTCAGGGACCCGTTCCCATGGGGAGAGGAGGAGAGAAGAATGAGAGAGGGGATGGGAAAAAGGAAACAGAACCAGTTTTCTTACCAGCAGAAGACGATTCTGTGGTCGGCCTTTAAGCTTACAAGTAGTGGCGAGCATGACTCTAGCCTCTATGCAAATTAGTTCATAACAATCTGAAAATGTTAAATTTTATAATAGATGCTTGGTTCTTGGATGACCGTCTCTTGCTTTCACGTGTGTGCATGCAAAAAACAATTCTGGAACTCTGTGTCCTGTGTACTACCTTTGTATTGCCTTTGTGCCGCCTCTGTTCTGCCTTTGTACTATTTCTGTGCAAATGTGTTAACATCCTAAATGGCTTGATGTAACCTCTGCTTGCAGGACCGAAACCAGGCGGCAATGACCGTGCTCAACGGCCACGTGGTCGTGTGTCTATTTGCCGATCCCGATTCTCCACTAATAGGGTTGCGTAACTTAGTAATGCCACTTCGTGCCAGCAACTTTCACTACCACGAACTCAAGCATGTTGTCATCGTCGGCAATGTGGACTACCTGAGGAGGGAGTGGAAGATGCTTCAGAACCTGCCTAAGATCTCTGTCCTCAACGTGAGTGTGGTCAAATCCTACAAACTTTATTGGCCTGAGCTTAAATTAAACTCTATAATGATGCAGTAGTTTTCGGACTTTTAGTGTTGTGCGAATATTCAAATTTTTTAATAGTAATTTCGAATAATACACTATTTGATATTTGCTTCGAGATGTACAGCGATATTCATACTTTTCAATGTGTTGATCGCGGTACGTTTGCCCCGTTGAGTGCGCTTCTTACCGAGCACCTGTGCAGTGCGGGGAAGCAACACCTGCAGAGCTCGCGGGCTCTGCGGCTATAGCTTCTCCACAGTGCACGGATGCTGGGTGAGAAGCGCACTTAACGGGGCTAACCCACCGCGAATATGCAAAAGTATAGACCTTCCCAAACAAAGGCTCCTGGCTGGTTCCATTTTCAGTGTTAGTGCATATGGCATGTGGTTTGCTCGCTTTCCGAAGCGACCAACATGTGCGTGTAGTCCTAAGGAGATCACACGCTGGGCTGAGGATTTGTAAATATTGGACTGGTCTATAACTTAGGCAGCGACCTCTTCACAACTCTCGCTCATCGTTTGTGCTTTATTTTTTTTTTCAGATTTGAACTTAAAGAACAGATATTTGCATATAGCAAGCAGACTTATAAACCACCTCGATTAGTATAGCTGCAACAATTTTGTTGTTTATGTGGCAAACTTAATATATATAGCTATGCTAAAATAAACTGAGTGAACGAGTGGAAGGTTGAGAACAGCCTTCATGAGCTCAGTATGGTGCATGGCAGTGAAATGCTTGGAGAAACTATTGTATATTTGAACAGAAAATATTCGACCAAAACCACTATTCGCTTTGAACTCAAAATCCACAATTCGCACATGACTAGATTCTTGGCATCAAAGTTTTATCCTTTATGTTTGTAAACATTGCCATTCATTCCTTTGAGATGCCTTTTATAACTAGATTCATAAAACTATTTTTAAAAGATACCGTATATACGCGTGTGATGGCCGCAGGTATTTTTTTATGATTTCGGGCGAGAACTAGGGGTGCGGCCATTACACGGAAAAAATGAAAAAGCTTTTTTGGAAATCATTTTTTTTTCGCCAAAAATTTCACCACTTGCCTTCATTAAATGGAAGTATTCACACGCCTTGGTAGAACAAGAAAACATCTATGGGTATTGCATAGACAGGTGTGCAAACCCTCTCCACTCGTCCGTTGTAGATCTCTCATCTTCGGAACTTGTCTCACCAAACTTTCGCCCGTCTGCTCTTTTGCTGTTGTCTTGAGCAAAGGCAATACCTTTGAGTTTAAAGCTGGCCGTGTAACTCGCGTACTTCCCCATCCAGAACCTTGAAGTGGGTGACAGCGAGAAACCAAGGGTACTCACAAACACAAAGAGATGCACTGCATCTGGTTCGAGATAAAGCGAGAGGCGTAAACAGACAGGATAGAGTGCCTCATTGTTGTTGGCTGCCACAGCCAGGTGGGAGCCATCTGCCGGCAGTACTTGAAAAAAAATATAAAAAAATGGCCGCACCTACGATTTTAAAATCGTAGGTGCGGCGCATATACACGGGTAATTTTTAAATATATTTTTTCAGCTTTTTTTGTTTAAAGCTAGGGCTGCGGCTATTACACCAGCGCGGCCATTACACGCATATATACGGTAATAGTTTTATATCTTCTTTTCCTTTTCCTGCTCTGTTCTTACTTGTCAGCTGCTTTTTTCATAACCATTTATTTTTCCTCATCAAGAATGTTTATGACTATAATGTTCACAGGCATATCGTTTGCAAAGGATCTAGCTAGCAGTCACATTCCAGAATGTTATGGCGTGGTCACACAGATCACTAGAAGTAGTACACTTAGAAACGAGCTCCTGTCCCTGCTCATTTTTCTTTTTTTATCATACCTTCAGGAGTGATGTTTACATCATGGACATTGAGATGCGTTCAATGCAGTGGTATCCTAGCCATAGAGAGCATAGGTATTAAACACACACAAAAAAAAGTACACTAAGTGTTGTTTTTTTTAGCAATAGGTTAGGTTTCACTAGGCAGGGCGATGTCACAGGAGTAACTGTTGGGTTGCTGAACTTTTTGTATGATTTGTATAGCAGGTTGCTGTATCTAGACAGTGCCTGGACCAACTGTGGCGGCTGTTGATTTGGTGCAGGGTTCTCCTCTGAGTCGAGCGGACTTGCGGGCAGTGAACATCAACCTGTGCGACATGTGTGTGATCTTGTCTGCAAAGATTCCCAGCAGCGATGACCCTACGCTGGCTGACAAGGAGGCCATCCTTGCCTCGCTCAACATCAAAGCCATGACCTTTGATGATACCATAGGTGTCCTTACTCACAGTAAGCTGCACTCCTCAACCCTTCATCTTACTGCAGGGCTGTTGAAGGAGCATGGCACCAAAAGACAGGGCAATAATGAACTTTAAGAAGACAGTGAGGTGGTTGGAAGGTTTCTTTTTTTGCATTGGGATTCCTTTCTTGGACTGTTCTGTCCCTTGGTGCTACAGAGTTTATGCATGTGTTTGAGTACCAGCCCCAACACTTTTTCTTACTTTTGACTGAAAGTTTTGGTGTGGTTTGTATGCAAACACATACAATTGTAGACCAGCTGGCATGTGTGTATTTACATGGCAGAAGAGAAGTATTTTCCTTCCTTTTTTCATGAGGCTGTACCACTGAAAAATAACAGTGTGAAGTTTTTGCCTGCATAAGCTTTCTGTGTTAAAACAGCTTTCAATTGTCATTAAAGTATCAAGGTGTCTGTTGTTCGAGCAATTTCAGAAAACTCGTTCGTTGAAAAATTGTTGATGTGAATATGATGAAATCGCCATTGCACAAATCTGTGCCAGTCTTGACTAAGCAAGAGCCAAGCTTTTTCCAATGAGTGACTGCTTTTACTGAGAAATTTCTGAGGCCATGCTTGTTTCGAAATAAAAACACATGTGTAAAAAGAGATTCTATTATGCACACCTGCAACAGTAACATCAACTTACTGAAATACACTTAAAAATATCTTTGCTGACAGCTTGGTTGTCAGACTGATGTCAACTGCAAGCCTGCATACCTTTTAGGTTGTGGCTTTTATTTTTACGCTAACTTCCAAGCTCCCAAACGTGACTTTTTAGTCACTAAGAGTCATATATACTACATACCTACAACCGCGGTGACGTCAAACTGAGTTATGGAATCTTTTTGTTACACGTCATTTTAAGATTTTAAAAGGATTTGTAAAACATGTCCAGTTGGTCAGCTTTCTAACTTGGGTAGCACCCCTGCTACCATTTGGAGTCTGCTGGGACCAGCCACAGCATGATGCCGTTCATTCCCTCGGCCACCCTCCCAGTTCTCTTTATTATTTCCCGCTCACATATTGCCTACCTACTACAAGAAAGAGACTGAGTGTCAATCTCTTCCTGCAGATCCCAATGGTGCTGAGGGATTCTCCCCTTTGGGTAGTCCCATTGTGATGCAGCGACGAGGCTCCGTGTACGGTGCCAATGTGCCTCTCATCACGGAGCTTGGTATGTCCCTCCGCTGCTCGGTGTCCTGGCTCGCTGGTGCTTTGCTTATGTCCTTCTGCGCGTCTGTGACTCAATTTGTAACCAACAAAGCAGATGGCATGCATCCGTTGTACATGCCTACTTCATTTATGCATGCGTAATGCACCCAAAGAATGTGAATGTGATAGGGATATCAGCTTCTGAACGGCAAATACATTTATCAAGGGTCTTGTTATGCTTATATACATACAGTGTAGACCGCATATAACGTATGTCGCGGGAGTCGCGAAAATCCGCACTATAAGCGGTACCGCGCTATAACCAAAACATCAATTTTTCAGGCCAAAATGCATGCCATCAGACAACTTTCCTTTGTAAAAGAATTTATTTTATGTTAGATGAAAAATAAAGCTTAGCTTGAGGAAAGTCTTTATTTCACCAGACTAGTACACTTTTCTCTCAAGTGTGTCACACATTTTGAAAGAAATGAGCGACTTTTGCCTAGCACAGCCTTTTAACGGCGTCGCGGGTTGCGGACGGATGTTGCGAGCGTTCAGGATTGCTAACCCTAATCACTTTTCTCTGGCGATGAAAACGCGTGAAAATTCGCATTCTTTATACGGTACGCACCAGTAATACCTTCAACTTGAGCACAGGCATGAAATGCTCCAAATAAGAAATCCGGGCGATGTTCGAAAACACAAACGCTTAGAAAGCACCACTGTAGTCGAAGTAAACAAACACGACGACACTGGCGTCTCTGCCGTCTTGAGAGTGCCGCCACAACATCACCGCACGAATAGGTGGATCTTCCCTTCTAGTACGTGCTCGGTTATCATAACGACACACAACGAAAATTCACAGTCAAGGATAGCGCTTTTACGCGGAGCGATGAGCTTCTATTACGCCGTCTACGTCGACGATCACAACCGACGCCATGTTTGCGGATAGAAGCAGCCGGCCCGCGACCGGCATGCAACGTGCGCGAACACTTCTCCTCGACTTGCGATTGATCTGTCGTTGCGGTTGTTTTCCAATGCAGTGGAGGGACGCATGCACGTGAACGCCACGTGCGTGCATCCCTCCGTCGCTATGGCTACTGAAGCCTCTCTCTTCGCTTCTCTCCGTTTCTTCTAGCAACCTCCTTGCCCCGCGAGTGCCGCTTGCGGCTGACGCCGTTATCTAGTGTCGCACAGGGAAGCGTGCTCTCTGCGTCGGTCAGTCGGCACGGTCGCCAAGCTGTTCCGAAAACCGCACTATAACCGGTATTTCCCTTTGCGCGCCTGCATTTTAAGCGGTATGTAATTACATGGAGTTCTATGGGAGGCAAACTGGTGGTTTAAAAAAGCCGCATTATACCTGGTCCTGCACTATAAGCAGTTACGTTGTAAGTGGTCTATACTGTAATATGTGTATAGCAATATCATAAGAGAGTAACATATGAATTGCATCAATGCTACAACAAAAGTCGTTGGTTGGTCATGGTATGCCCGTCCGTGGGAAGTAGACAGTTTAGAAAATTGTGCCAGTTGTTTTTAAATGTGACAGAAGTAGTCGTGTATGAATAGGGGATTTTGAGTTTGAAGAGAATAGAGGTTTTGGCCGAATATTTTTAAATAGAATATTGAATAGTTTCACTAAGCCTCTCACTACTGTACCATCCTTAAACAAAAACTGAGTTGAACTCATGAGGGTTGTTCCCAATCTTTTGCTTGTTTACTCCTAAGCTCAGTTAATTTTCATATAATTTTATTCATAAACTGTGGCATGTAGTCAAAACTGCAGCTTGGGCAAGTTGGTTTAACATGTTACCGATTTCACAGCGTGCAAATAGCACACACACTAGTATTCAGGACAGAACACAGCATACACACCAGCACTGAATCAGTGCAGTGTTTATGTAGTGTTTTGTCCTGAATACTAGTGTGTGTGCTACTTGTGTGCTGTGAAGTCAGTATTTTGTGGCACGTAAATAATGAATTTGTCACAGCTATCCTAATTTGCTTGCTATGGGCAAATATCCTTTCTTTAACTTCAAGCATGACAACAAGAAAAAAACAAAACAAGCATGAATGATGAGCACAAATTGTCAAGACATCACTGCCTAACGTATACTCTTGTATAATCATGGCCGGTTAGCCCCGCTGAGTGCGCTTGTCAGCGAGCAACTGTGTAATGCAGGGAAGCGATACCCACGAGCTCTGCAGGCATTGCTTCTTTGCAGTGCACAAGTGCTCAGTGAGAAGCGCTAACCCACCTCGACCAACACTTAGAAAAGTATGAATACCGCAGTTCCTCTCGAAGCGAATACCGAATAGCATAATATTAGAAACTACTATTTGTAAATTGGAATAGTCACACAACCCTGAACAGAAGATCTTATAGATGTTTCGAAAAAATGTTCCTAGAATTTCTAAGTGAAATTAAGGAAGAAACATTTATACATTACAACATGGTGCAATATGCTATCACATTCAATGACAATCTTTGCAACAATTTCAGCAACTCTTTGTTCTTTCTCTTCTGCAGTGAATGACACAAATGTGCAGTTTCTGGACCAGGATGACGACGACGATCCAGATACGGAGCTCTACCTGACGCAACCTTTTGCCTGCGGTACTGCTTTTGCTGTCAGCGTGCTCGATTCATTAATGAGCACTGTGAGTATCACGACTCATATTGCCTCTCTTACGGCAGCCTATTATCGCTGAAGCACATGTTGAAGATGACCCGAGTAAAAACGAGCTTTGTAGTAGAGGTAATTTTTTTATTCGTAATTACAGTGTGCTTGTCAGTTGGGCTTTCCCATGGTACAGCCACACCTTGTAGCAAAGCCAGGATGGTGAAGGGGTTTGCACAGTGTTCTTTTGATATTACTCATGCTGCTTAATGGATGTGCTCAAGACTGCTTGATCAGTCCAATCACTTTCTCCAGCATTAGTATTCTGCTTTTCCCAAATTTTTTCATGCTGAACTTACTCCAATAAGCCATGATAAATTCTGGACACCCTATACATTTCATCTTCCATATTCGTGGATTCAGTTTTGCCACCAATCATCTTCTAACCTCCATATACACACAAGCCCTTTGAAGGGCTTGTGTGTATATGGTTGGTTTGGTTGGTTGTAAATCACAGCTTAACCACTCATTTAAATTGCTCTGTAACACTATAATACAAGCCATTCCTTCTTGATACATCGAATAACATTCAAAAGCACCGACCTGTGGTTGGCAGCATGGTATGAGACATATCCTAAAGACTGCTTTGTTTGTCACTCCAGAAAGTTGTCAAATGGCGGCATTCGCCAAGTGCATGCCATAATGGATATGATGGAACAATTACCAGAAAGATACATTGTTCACAGCTAAGTTTGTAATCACTGAAAGAAGTGCTAGTTGGTACAGATCGATTCATCACAAACTGCTTCCTATGTTTTGAGCATCCTTAACCTACTGATAATGGAAGTAGCAAAGCCGGCTTCTCCTTCGTCCCCGATGCTTGCTTGGGTGTGAGGTTCCTACATGTAGGTGTGTCCCTCTTTCCCTCTCTCTTGTGTGCAGACGTACTTCAATGCGAATGCACTGACGTTGATCCGGTCGTTAATTACGGGTGGCGCAACCCCTGAGCTGGAGCTCATCCTGGCCGAGGGGGCGGGTCTACGCGGAGGCTACAGCACTCCCGAGTCCTTGGCCAACAGGGACAGGTGCAGGGTCGGGCAGATCTCGCTCTACGACGGCCCACTGGCTCAATTCGGGGTGGGTCTCCTTTCTCCTCCTCTCTTTCTTTCACTGCCGTCACGCAGGGCAAACTCTCCCAACGCCTCCTGTAGAGCAAAGCTGTAGTAGTGATGGATTTTCCATGTCGCCTACAAAATGTCTGTGCAGGACATTGTTTGGACACGAGCGCTGCGTCAACACTTGGTTGGCACTAATTTTTCTCCCACCGATTCATAGAGCCCTGCACGGATAACAGTTTGATCATCCGAATCCGATCTGCAACCGCATTTGACTCGCAATCTGCGCATTCGTTTTACATTGTGAAATCGAACATGAATGAAAAACAATAAGCGTCTGAATGGTACTTTATAAGCCATTTGCTTATCTTTGTACAAAGAACTGTGAGTCAGAATACGGTCAAAGTCATTTTATTGTATTCTGTTTTATCCGAATTGTATTGTAAGCTATCATCTTTCCAGAGACATTTTGCGTCACTGGAAGGATGATCACCGTTTTGAGATGATCCTGGGAGTCTGCAATGCTCTGCCCAGAATTGATATGCTAAAAAAGAAATTAAATTAATTCTTTTTTTCTTTTTGCTTAGTGCATTTGTTTTGACCAGATGTGTATTTTCTGGCAATGAAAACTGATAGAGGACAGACTAATTACGTAGTGTCATTTTATTTAGGTCATACAGTAAAAAAGTGGGAGAGGAAAGGTGACCATTCACTGCAGCAGAGTAGTACTCGTATATGGTACACGGTAAGACGCAAGTACACCACTGGGAAAATATTACAATATTCAATAATGGCAAAACCTCATATTGGTTCTAGTTTTAAACACAAACCCGCTGCTACGTGCTCTAAACCACATACTTTGCAACAACTTGCCAGCTGTCTAGAAGAAGAAAAACACACGCATGCACGCCACATAAAGGAGGCTTCTTCTGCTTACTTGTGGCTGATACGTTTTGGGTTTTCTTTGCCCAAAGAATGTTTTGCCGCTTTTTCCCTGCTAAACAAGAACACACTTTCCCAAGACAATTAATTCCCCTGCATTTTTTACTTTTTGTTAGGGACAGCATTTTTGGCTAGATAGAATGCTCTAAAGCAGTCTTTGATGAAAATCAGGTCTTTCTTGGAACGAAGAGAAATTTTCTCCTCGATTGACACCTTTTTTCTAAAAGAATAATTTGCTCTCGCAAAACATTCGATGACCTCATAGTGTCACTCGCTTAATTCACTTTACACTCTGCCATGGCACATGTTTATGGGCTACCTCAGTAAAAATGTAGATACAGACCTGCAGATATCTGCATCTGGTCATCATGTAATCCGTCAAATCTGGTTAACTTTTATCTGCGTCCCCCAGTTGGCTGTGGATAGCCACGGATGATCCACAGGTAGTCTGCGGATATGCAGGGCTGTATACTGATTGAGCAATGATTAAATTCCAAACGAATGCTAACCCAGCACCCGCATCTGGTTTGATTTCCGGTGGGTGACAGAAAATCCAGCGCTATGACCAATTCTATCCAAGAGGTACTAGTTCTCATTAGTGGTTGGTATCTAGTGTGTTATTTCTTACTGTTGCAGTTGTGCCAGCTCAAGAATATTGTTTTAATGTGAAGTAAAAATGTAATATCTGAAAACAAAATAGAGGAAAAATCACATTTCTGCAAAATGTAACGAAATTAATCTCTGGAGAAGGGGAACAAGAGGGACAAAGGACGAACATAAATCTCCAACTCCAGCTAGGTGACTGGTGAGCGACCGAAAAAATCCGCCTGGTCCGGGTATCGAACCCGGGACCTCTCCATTACTGTGAGAACTTGAGATTGGGCGAGTTGGTTGTTTATGTTTGTCGACGTTTAGCGCACTCAAAAAACTGTCATTCAAGCATTCACACACCCAAAGAACACTCCTTTCACACAGCGCTCACTAACAACTTTGTATTTCGTTACTTCGGCTTCTACTTCTTCAGATTTTTGACGATTTGCAAACAGAAAAAGACGACATAAGAGTAAAAATTCCTGTCTAACGCTTAGGCTAATTCGTGGCTAAATAATCTCTCTTCGTGATAATGTTATCGATGGCGTACTAACACATTTGTCCTCTAGTCGTATGATATTGTCGGCTTCGATGATTTCCCTTGTTAATTGGTTTACACTTATGCCCAACACGGTGCTGTTGTTGAAGTGCGCGACACACCCACAATCCCGACAGTGTATCCCCAAGTGGCCAGAGTTAGCGTTTACAATGTTGTTGGAGTGTTCTCGAAAGCGGTCATTTAAACATCGCCCAGTTTGTCCAACGTATTGTCTTCCCCATGAAAGGGGGAATGAATAGACCAACCCCCTCAACGCAAGGCACAAAGTTGGTCCTATGCTTCTTGGAGCAGCAGATTGCGGGATTTAAGGGTGTGGTGACGTTTTTGCCAAAACTGGACAGTTTGGTGGGTGCTGAAAACATGATGTCCACATTGACTCTGTTCGCTGTTTTCTTGAGGCCGTGGGAAAAATTGTGGATGTAAGGGACGATGACTGGTCTTCTTGTCCTGTCTCTGTGTGTTTGTTTGACACAGTTCTCTGGCTTGATTTCTTTAAGAAGAGTTTCGACCACTGAAACCAATAAGAACAGAGGGTACCCTGCTGACTTCAGTCTTGCAATTTGCCCGTCGAAACTCTTTTGTATGGAATGCGAGCATGACTTAGCGATAGAGCTCTTAAGGCATGACCGCACTATGCCTCTTTTCACGAGTTTTGAGTGCGCGGAGTTGAAAGGGAGGAGTGGTTTTTTACCCCTGGGTTCATAGGACCAGCAGACGTGGTGAGGTAGCACCACCAGTCGGAGATCCAAGAATCTTAGGGATCCTTCAACCGGCAACTCGTGGGTGATTTCTAGGGGACTCATGCAGTCTTTAAATGCCGAGAGGACGTTGTCCACCGAGCTTGAACAATTGTTTTCATCGGTGGCTAAAAAAATTAAAAAATCGTCCATGTATCTAAACACGCATACTACTTTTGTGCCATCTAACCTCTGTTGTAGAATCCTATTGATATGTGCGAGATATAGGTCGCTGAGTACAGGTGCAATACACGAACCTACGCACACTCCTCTCTTTTGCAAGTAAGTGTGTCCATCCCAGGCAGCAAAGGTGGGTTTAAAATAGATGTTAAGCAATTCCAAAAACTTATTGTGGGGCATGCCTGAGGTATTCTGAAATGCAATAGCACCAAAGGTGTCAATGCTGTCTTCAATACTTGTTAAGAGACGGTCTTGGGGCAATGCATAGTAAAGGTCCTTAATGTCAATTGAAAAAGCTTGCATCTCTTGGTGTTTTCGTTTCTAGGAAGTTGAAGACTTGAAGGAACTTCGGATTAGGTAGGGGTCGTCTACGATTAAAAGATTTAGTCTGTCTTGAAGGAATAAGGCAACTGATTTTTGCCATGTTCCCCGCTCTGAAACAATGACTCTCAAGGCCCGTTCACACTCTTGCGACCGAGTGCGACTGAGAGAGACGAGATCTCTTACAACTTCTTAAATGTTTCTAGAATGAGGGAACACACTGACATTGTGGCGCCATCTATGCGGTGACCCTAGAACTGCATTTCACAAAAGCGAAGGTTTTGCGGGATTTCCGAGGTCAAATGTGCGTAATACCCATAGAAAGGCTCGTTTATAACATTGACAAAAGATTTTCGAGCCAAAAAAGAAAGGATATTGCGCGAGAAATAAAAAAAAATATGCCGGACCGCCGAGTTTACACTGCTTCCCAATAGATGGCGCCAGTGTGTTCTCTGGTTTAAGAAGTTTTAAGGAACCCAGGTTTAAGAGGTCGCAAGCAGTCGCAAGGGTGTGAACGGGCCTTTAGGGGGCAGTCAGGCTTGTGGGTTTTTGCACTAAAAAATACTTCTAAGGATAACGTTTTGCTGCGGTCAATGTGGGAACAAAGTTTTTTGAGGTCAAGCGATTGGCAAAAGTGCCTTGCGGCTTGTTTTACCTTGCCTAATGCTATCTCGTCATGATTGTTGAAGACGGTTTCAATTGCTGCTTTTGCCTTTTGGCTGAATGTATTTTTGCGCATAAGGACAAAACCTCCTTCTTTGTCAGCAGGCATGAGTGCTAGGGAATACTCCTTTAGGTACCGCTCTACTCTTTTTACAGGTAGTGGTGTGACAGGCGGTTTATGTCGAAGGAGATTGATCGTTGCACTTCTGAAGGAGTGGACCTACTCTTTCGTTCCACGAGCGCTCTACTTGTAATGGAGAGGTCCCGGGTTCGATACCCGGACCAGGCGGATTTTTTCGGTCGCTCACCAGTCACCTAGCTGTGTTTGGAGATTTATGTTTGTCCTTTGTCCCTCTTGTTCCCCTTCTCCAGGGATTAATTTCGTCATTCTTGTCCAGCTCGCTTGCACCTTTGCATTTAATTGCATTATAATTATAATGCAAAATGTATTTGCACAAAACATATTTTTATTTGTGCACTTTCAAATTCCAGGAAAGTTGCCCCTCTTCCTCGAAGAAAGCACACTCAATGGAGCTATAACTTTCCATCATTACAACTTTTGAAATTAGGAGGTTGAATCAAATAAACCAGTATTTGAATCAATATGCTAAAGGTTTGGCCGTTTGCACGTCTCTGCAGAGAAGTTATAAGTGATTGGATTGAGCCTGATATTCCAAGTATCAGCTGAACTGGTTTCTTCACATTATTAGAATGCAGTGCACTATTATCATCTATGTTTGCCAGTCAAAGTCTAACCCCAACATTTTATTCTTTTTGTTTTAGCTCATACAACGAGTAGAGCGCCATTCACACACTTGCAGCCGAGTACGACCGAGGGAGACAAGACCGGTTTTTAAGCCTCTTACGACGGCGTACAACCAGCTCCGCAGCAGCGCATGCGGTCCTCCGCCTTCTCATGAGGCTCAAAAACCGGTCTTCTCTCTCTCGATCGTACTCAGTTGCAAGCGTGTGAACGGCGCTTAAGGCGACCATTCTGGTTTCCTTAAGTTTTATTTCCTCCGTACATACTCATTTAACTCTACAAAATTATATTTATTAGAATGGTCAGATGCTTAGTGAGCTTAAAAGTGGGTGTTTGTTGTGATGATACTGGAACTAATGGGCACGTTACTCATTGATCACTAGGCAAAGCATATTAATTCAGTAAGATATTTTTGAGAGTTCTGCTTGGAATTAGTTAGCAATTGTTTGTTCTCTAAGTGATGTTGTTTGGGAAGCTGTAATTTATTTTTGCTGACAGACGGGTGTTTATTGCTTCCATGGTCATTTAAAATGTTATCGTATTCCTGGATTCCTCTGGGGAGGAGAATGTTGTCAACTGCCACACTCACTGGTCTTCTGTCCACCTCCGGACCATATCCTTGAATTTTTGCTCATAACTGATCACGCACATGACACACGACCTGCTTTTATTTTTACATTGAAGATTTTAGCTTTGTTTGGTGGTGCACACACATCTTGTACTTTTAGCCTTTCCTGTGTCGTGCAGAAACATTGATGTTGACTGTAGAAACAGTGTGCGTTGCTGGAAGCCTCATGTAAGCTGAACCAGCATCTACATTTAAACTTATGCAAGAAGATTGCTGTCCAAGAGGAGCAACAAGAACATCTTGCTCAGGTCAATGTCTTGTGCAAGAGGGTGCTACCCCGAGAGCATTTCTTGGCTCGCTACTTTTTTTGCGCAAAATACCAGTGTTGGCGATAAAGCATTACAAGTAATGGCGCTACTGGCAATGCATCACTTTTTTCTATACTTGTTACATTTTCAAAACAGTAACAGAAAACATACTTATGTTACGGTACTTATTTCGAGCAACAAGTAACTAAGGTATGTTACACGTTTCATCTTCTTCCCAAGACTTGAAAAACATTAGACTTCAATTTTCTTCAGGTTTCTAGGCTTCAAATTATATGAATTCTTGCTCTCACCCCACTTAACTTCAAAATTTTGTCTCTCTTTTCTTCATCCAAACACTCCCACTTTAGAAGAACCCGATTGCCCTCACCCTTTGTCCCAGTGTTGAACGCTGTCGCCATCAGTGGCAGGTAACGCGAAAGTAATGTGTGTTACTTTTTATTGGTAATTGGTGATACTTTTTTTTTTTAGATACGGTAACATAAATCGGCAACATGTTTCTTTTATTGGCAAGTAACGAGTAACATATTTTGTTGCTTTTTTTCCATAATACCTACAACACTGCAATATACTAATCAAAGCCAGTGGATCTTGAGCATGCAGCGAGGGAAGCATCAACTTGCATTTTCTGAGTCAGAATTTAGGGGCACTCTGTTGGAACATAAATTCATAAGGTCAGCCACCCAAATATAAAACTCTTGTTTACTGCTGTACTTTATGCCTACAGTGTAGTATGAGAGAAATGCATGTCATGCTTGCAAGGACCACTGACTGTGCTTCTTTCTGTCTCCTCTTTGTGCAGGAGGGTGGGAAGTATGGCGACCTGTTTGTGGCAGCCCTGCGCAGCTATGGCATGCTCTGCGTGGGGTTGTACAGGTTCCGCGATACCAGTTCCTCAGGAGAGGCGTCTTCGAAACGGTACGTCATCACCAACCCTCCAGCGGATTTCACCCTGCTTCCGACGGACATGGTAAGAACATCCTTCCCGCTATATCTCTCTCTCTCTCCTCGGCACAGTTCCTTGTTCTTATTTTGGCCGTCTGCAGGCTACTCAGTGATGCTCCTGATTGCCTATCCTGAGGACTTTTTTTTACATACCTGGAGTCGTCGGGAAATTTATAGTTTCATCTTGGGGGAATGTGTGGAAACCTAGGATAGTTGGGACGTTTTTTGTCGGTTTCCCCAGTTCTACTAATTTAATTTTGCAGCCCTCGCTTTTAAAGAGAAATGTGTACAAACATTTATTTTACAGCGATTTCAGTCGCCCTAGCTAAAACTATCGTTGACCGTGCTGGTTGCGTCATCGTCTGAACTTCTAGACCAGGGTTTTCAAGCTCACTAGACGATGACACTGTCGCGTTAGCACGAGCAATGAGCCACAAAGTCGCCGGGAGAACCTTTGCAAAACTGTTGGATGGTGGCCACTCTGATAAGTGAGAGCCAGTCTCCTACTTTTTATTTGACCACATGATTATCGTGTCAATCATGTGCCTCCGCACCGTGGTATTCATGCTGCGCAACTCGCATCAAGCTTCACAGCATTGCAGCAGTGTGTGCATCGAGCTTCACTGTTTTTCACGTGGTGCTAGGAGCAGCAGCTGATGCAGGGAAGCGTCTGATGGTGTATTCTGGCTGCCTATCTTTATCTCCGGAAGGAACTGAGTATATGTCTTAGGTCTGCGAGGAGGAAAGGCCATGGCAAGAGGGGGGTAGTGCAGAAAATCTGGGCAAGTATTTGCACGACGAAGTCGCAAGTCAGCGGACCTGGAAGTGACTCTATACTTCATGTCACTAGTTGCGTGCAGTACAGGCGAATTGATTGAGCGTTATCAGTTGTATGTTTTTCCGGGTCAGACTTCTTTTTTAACTGCAATATCTTGAAAAACATATTACCAGAGTTTTTAGTTAAATTGTGATGGCATCACAAATCATCATAATTTTCAGTGGAACATGTCCATCGTTATAAATCTTTTTTCGACGTTATCTTTCTTTGCAATTGGTCAGAAAATCTGGGTAAAAAATAATGAGTGGGCATCGCAGAAAATTTGGAAACATGATTATTGGGGTTATGCAAATAGTGACAAATTGAGTACAAAATGAATAGGGGTGGCACCAAGTTCAGTATGAATCAAATAATTCTAAAATTGTTTTTGAATAGTGGGCAGACATTTTATAAAGAAGAGTGACCTGTCTAGAAGACTACAGTGTGTTTCCCACACTGTTTCCTAGAAATAATTGTAGGAGCACAAGTCTAGTTGAAAATGACTAGAATTGAATGGTGAAATCCAATAGACATTTATATTGAAACATTCTGCAAGTTTGTTTCATGAGGATAGCGGCTTACACGAGACACTTGGACCAACCAGTGCCGGAGTGGCCGAACAACTTTCACACTCCACTGGGTTTTTTCTTCTAAGAACCTTCCGGTTCTATTTATCTCATGCTGTGCAGTGGCACCTTACCAGCTTGTCAGCGATCTATATTTTGAAACATCAGCACGTTTTGCTTTCCAAAAGCTCGCAAATGCAGTTCTGCATGAAAGATCATAGTAACTCTTGGCGTAGTTCTAGATGGACGGAACGACACTGTGCAAATGGAGACAAACCATTTTTGCTGATGATGATCGTGCCTAGGAGGAGAGCGTACTGGCATCTTACGGCATGTATTGCAGGTGCACGATGGTGTGCTTGAAAATTATTAAAACAAAAATATTCGTAACTTTGAAAAAAATCACTATTCACATCAGATGATGAACCGAAAAGGACTATGTTTGTATCACTATTGAAAAATATGACTATATGCACACTCCTAATATCTATGGTAGACATGTCGGTGGAATCTTCTGTACAAAAATTGTTTTGGGGAAAACGTAGAACTGTGGAACCTTTGAAAACAACTTATGAACTTGAGAACAACTTAGAAGTAGTAGCTCTACCAAACTGCTTCCAAGTTCTTTTAATCAAAATTTGACTACTCATTGTAATATTTTTTAACCCCAAGGGAGTCGTCTGCCATGGCAACAGTATAAATTTGGCACTGTAATGAGTAAAAGAGACGTTTCGCAGTGCACTGCATGAAGGCTTCTGGCATCTGCACCATGCAGAGCTTTGGCAAAAGCCGAGTGGCAGCCATCTGTTAACTCTTTGCAGGTGTTTGTCCTGCTGCAGTTTGACCCCGGTCTGGAGTACAAGCCCAACCGGGGGGAGGAGCCCAAGGACGACAACTCTTGACTCCTGCTGTGTAGCGCTTTGACTGACGGGCCTTATTCCTTCATCTAAGCAAATGATATGCCACAAACCTGCTGCTTGAGTTCACCTTCCCTTCCACAATGTGCAACTGGACCATTCAAAATTGAGCGTACGCCACACCCCAAATTGTGTTTGGAAGCAAGGGCTCGCACATATCCTCGAGGGCGCCTTTTCTGCACCCGGTGCGGAGATCTCGAACTGGGGGCTTTTAACTTTAGAGTGGTTCTTTTTTCCGAGTCTGGTTGCAGATTTTTTTTCTGTTTAGGCCTAAGACCTTTCTTTACCCTTCACCAAAATCCAAGAAAGACGTGCAAAAGTGGCCTTGTAGCTTGGTTCGCAATTACGCCGTAGGTCTTTTCTTGTAGAGGTCAACTTTGAGACAACGAAAGGCTTAGGGGACTCTGTCGATGCACAGTCGTGCACACCACCCTTTCTTGATAACAAAAATTACCTGCGACTCCGACCTAAATTGTTTCGGGACTAATCATACCATATTTTTGTGTTTTGCTTCCTGTTAAGAGGACCTTACTCTAATGCCCGGAAGTTCCTTGGAGCTGTAAAAGTGATAGTTTGGATTCCGCCACGCTCCTGTATCCAAACAAAGAGAAGCCCCTTTTCTGAACCTTTCTTCCATCTTTAAAATTCCCAGACATTTAGGAGAATATTGCGGACCATTGAGGTGATAGGCAACCTAGACAACTGCAGCAGCTGCTTCAACTCACTGTTTCCTCATCCACTGCTTTGGGCAGTGGAGGGTGACAGGTCTTTTCAAAGTATCTTAGCAGGCTAAGCAGGCGTAACCAATTCTCAATTCAGGGAGCCAAGACTCTAAGCACGCAGTGTGTGCACGCGTCACGATTGATGCCAAACAAAAGGAACAATTGCAGGAGGAAACTAAATAAGGGTCGTCTGTTGAGGTTGCTACACGGTATTTCGTAAACTCTGAAGAAAAAGAAAATCTCCCGGAAAACTTGCAAAGTGAATGCCGGCACTGCTTCTGCAGCGAGGCACGCTGAGACGAAGACAGAGGCCGACGTCCCGGCATCTTCGTCTTGACCGAAAAAGAAACTCACTCTGTGTCTCTCTTTCTCTCTCTCTCTCTCTTTTCCCCGACACTTTGCAATACGACAGAGGAAACGACTGTTTTTTCGTTGAATGCTTGTACATACGACATACGTCCTGGCACGGCTCTGTCTCTGTGCTCTTTGTACGAAAGGCTTCATATTTTATGTACAATTCAAAGATTGTTGCGTCAGTTTAGTAACACTGTTTCCATGTGGAAGCACTGGCTGTACAGTAGTGTTGTAAAGTGAGCGAGGTAGGGTTTAAAATGCAGAAGACTGAGCAACACGTGTGTATAGACTTGTACATATTACGTGAGGGGGGACTAAGGCTGCCAAGTTGTGCAGGCGCCATGCGAGGCAAGAGTATGAACGCGGCAGTGTACTTGTTGAATGTGACATGGTTTTTTCTATCCACAAAGCCTTACTACATTTTCCGTTGACGTGTTTTCATTCTCAAGTGAAGCGGGGCTGCTCAAGGTCACATCTGTGCAGAGAGGTTGTATGCCACGGGAGAATACTGCACGCGGGGCTCCTCTCGGCAGTCTGCACACCGTGTGCGACGTACGTACGCCTGACACATGGGTCCAGTTTGACCAAGTGGTGTCGGCCAAGCTCGCAGCAGTTGTTTCGCCAGAAACCTTTCGGTTAGCCAACACTCGCCTGTACCAGAGATCTTGGAGAGGAGAGTTTGCAGAGAAAGTCTAACTAAGTGTGTCTTCTGCCCAGTTATGGTGGGTCATTCTCTACGAGGCAGAGCCTTTGGCTGGTGGTTTTCTGAAACAACTGCTGCTAGAATGTTTACTCCAAAAATAAATAGATGTTGCTACTAAAAAAAAACGATAACACTGTTGTGTGCAGGCTTTTATTTATTTGGGCTCTTCTTTTTTTTAATATTTATTATCCTGAGATATCACGTTGCACAATATTTTCCACTTGTTTTGCAGCTAGTCCAAGTGTGCAGCTGAGAGATGGATTGAACTGAGGTGAACACACACACACTAGACAATCCACACACGTTGCGATTCCTTGTCGAATAGGACGTGTGACTTTCTTATTCTGTGTGGCTCATGCCTGCGTATGGGGCACCTCACGCGAGTGTTTTGAAAGCGTGTGCTAAGGGGAGTCATGTTAAAGAACTACTCTCTTGCACAGTGTTAGTCTTACCGCAAAAATAGTTAGGGTTATTATTTTTATTTGTTACTTTCTACTCATGGTTAATTTGCTAGATTTTTTGCCAATATTTAATTAATAAAGGTGTTGACTCTTGGTTGTTGCTATTTACTCCCCCTAGCTTGGGCTGTACTATTAAACACTCTGGCTTTGTTACAACTTGTTCCTTAACGTCCTTTTTAATCTTACTTAAACCTGACTTGGTGTGACAAAAATGCTTTTCTAACATTCTTTTAACTAATCAGGTTGCTACCTGCTGCTGCATGAAGCTTGAGCGCTATCAAGTCATTAGTGCTATTGCTACTACTGTTGCCAATCAGAAGTGTTAGTAATAGTATTTCAACCAACTCAGGACAAGGCTTGAAACATGAATGTGAGAGTTCTAGACATCCAAGGGATGAATAACATTGCCTTATATATCTCTATAGATGCAGCCTCATTTGACATAAACTGTGGCAAAGGGCAGTATAACTAGTACATCAAAGTTTGTTAACTTCATTTTTTAATTTTCCACTTTCTTCACAGCAACTTATAACTGTGTCCAAGCATATCATGCCGTTTTTACCAAAGACCTGCCCAAATTAGACAAATATGCCATTTCTACAGCTTCATGAAAAGTTGTTTTGTGCCTAACCTTACCATATAGGGCTAGTGAATATGTAGGTTTTTGAATGAGCATAGTAATTGTAGGATGACAAATCCTAAAAGCTGATGAAATTGGTTTGAAGAAGCAGTTTGCACTTTAAAACAGTGAATTGTTATAAATCTGTGCCGATATTTCAGAACAGAAATTAAAATATTGCTTTGGTTTCCTGCGACTAAGAAATTTTGAATACGCTCATGCAAAACAATGCATAAGTAAACAATCATGAGCAATTTAGTCTGAGGGAGGTAACGAAAAACATTAAGCTGTCTCCTCTCGTGTTTGTTGTAATTACCTAGCATTTCACTTGCTCGTAATATGACGATGGGAAATCTTTTCTATTTTATTATCTAAGCATTCCCTGAGGAAAAAAAAAATTTCTCTCAAGTATTTGCTAATTAGATAGGTTTCCCACAATGTCCCTAATAAACCTTATAGGTTTTAGTGAAACAGAATTATTATTTGGTGGCATTCCATTCTGAAAACTTGAGATGCAAGCACCCCCAACTTTGCTAGCTTCTGGAAAACAGATGACACTGATGTAACACACCAAACAGAGCAGCAGCAGGCAGCAGCAGCCGCGAGGCTATTTTCGCTGGAAACCTAGATACCAACAAAGACTGACCGCCATTTTTGTTTCGTTTTCTATGGTTTTCCCCGGTTATCGGCGCAAGTTTTCCCGTGCCCTGGCCGTGGTCAGGCGTAGTATTTTTTTAAATGCGAGGCCCAAACTGTTAGACCGAGTCCTTCGTCCTGTACGGCGTTCGTTCCGCAATTATAATAAACATCTGCATTTAACTGTTCATCGACTCATCTTTTGGTCTGCCTGTGTCCGTCGGTGTGATTGAGCATGTGCTGTCTTGCAACTTCTCTCGGAGTAAGCCCACCTCGTCTCGCGAGACTCTTGCGCCTAGCAACCGCGTTTCTTTTTCTTAACCTTAGCTAACGGGTTCTTCCACGGTCGTACATGTAACTCTGGTGTGACTCGTAGCGCTGCTTCTTTCCGGCTCTCACCCGCGAGTGTATTGGACTGTGGCTAAGAAACCGTGTTGGAACTGTGATGTGCTAAAAAAAAAAATCTAGATGCTGTGAAATCTCCCCTGCTTCGCTTTCTTTTTGTAAGTGGCGGACGTGTGCAAATATGAGAAAGCGAAGTGCAGATACGGTCCTCGCCTGACTGGAAACGTGGTCCTTCTAGATTCTTGTTTTAGTCTCGTTATCGTTCAAAAAGCGGAGCACGAGGAGATTTCACACTTTATCACTCTCCTGGTTCTGATTGCTCACCTCACCACTTTGAACAACTCGGAGTAACAGAAACAGGACAAGTATCATTCGAGCATGTATCTTTAATGGCTGTCGGAAGCCAGATGGATCTTGACCATTTGCACTGAGTACATGACACTAATTAGCTCTAATCTGGATTGGGACTGATGAACCACCAAAATGTGTATCATAGAACCAAACGGGCCTTCTTGCCACCGACACGATGCTGTCCTTGCAATGCATGTGATAACCGAGCACACGAATGGTCGTCGGCTATTGTGTGTCCCCACGGTTTGTACCAACTAATGTGTGTGGCATTTGCTTGAAAAGTCTTGTTTGTTTGTTCTTTTTTTGCATTTTGTTTGTGTGTTCTTTGCATCATATCACAGACTTGACTCGAATTTTCAACACCAGCAATTGAGGATTCAGGTCGAGCTCACTTCAAGCACGCACTTCCAGTCGGGCGAAGGACCGTTTGCACATGCAATGGCTTCATTGTTTTCTCAGTCACGTGTCTGCCGCCTACACTTTTCTCTGTTCCCGTCTGTTTCTACGTACTGACATGTACACCACATACGTTAGCACAGGCTCTGTATTTAGTTTTCGTGTCCATCACTGTGCATCTTTCTTTGATGTCCTGGTCTCTTGTGTGTGTTCTCTGCCTTGGATGTGTGTGTGCCCATAGAACACTTGCAGTGTCATGCTTTTCTTTTCTGCTCCTGTTTCTCTGTACACCTATGTTTTGAGTTGTACCTTCAATAAATGTGGGTTTTTTCTCATCAGTTTTGCATGATTGTCTGGCATCTTCAATGTGACTGTTGTCTTTCTCTCTCTTTCTCTCTCTCTTTGTCCTTGTCCGAGTGCCTATTTATACATACTCTGAAGGTGTAATTAGAAAAATAAGGACGGCATTGGCTAACTCCAGGTGTTGAGCTTTGTCATGGTTCTCTGTCAGAGCTCAAAATTTTTGCATCCATGGCATGCTTGCTTCGTAAAGTTGCAATTTTCTTTAGTGTTCACACAGTTCTTCAAAAGCTTCTTCCGGTTCTTTTAAGATAAGTGCTGCTGGAAGCTAGGTGAACATGAAAGCTGTAAAATTACATGCATGTTTCTGCTTTGTCTAAGTTACCCCATTGTCTAATCACACCTAGTCAATCAAAACTTGTTGTTACATTATAATATTCCTTATTGAATCAAAGCAACAGAAGCACATGACAAGATGTCAAGTGTGCCAAGTCTCTGCTGCTTGTCTATTCATTGCACTATTGGGATTATTTACTGAGTGGCGGCATTTAAATCAAAGTCTCTGGAAATATTCACTCATTCTGCATAAAGAATGTGGTGTCGTTCCATTTCTATTTAAATTATAACTAGTGACCCTCCTGGATGATTAATACGACAGCGTGGTTTTTGAGAAAGTAACTGCTTTATTGCAATGACTTGTTTTTTTTTACAAAAAAAGAAATTGAAACATTTTAGACTTTGGCACTTGGGAAGATAACCTTGAGCAAGCACTCTTTTCTTGCTAGGCATTCCAACTGTTCTAAATCTTGCACATAGCTCCACATTAAATCAAGCCAGGTTGCCCAAGCATGTTTTTATAGGAAAGAAGGGAAGGTAAAACATAGAGTGCACTGCATGCAGTATTATAACTTTCATTGAGATCATTTCGGTCTGCAAACCTTTTCTACTAAATTAATACTGTATAATACATTTTTGTTTACAAATTCACATAGTATCACAAGCAATGATAGTAACAATCGTATTACAAACTCATTTAAATAAATAAATTTGTGAACACATGAAGAAGGTATGTACACCATATCAGCCTGGTGGTTGTTGATTTACTGGCTTTCATAGGTGACACCTAGATTGTTGGGGGACTTTTTGTAGAATGAATTTGCCTTAGATTTCACACTAAACTTCTGGACACTACTAAATTCATTTGTTGATCACAGATACTATGTACAATTTGAAAAATACTGTTAAAACTCTTGAGGACAATGTCATGAACTAACAACAGGGAAATAATACTATCTGTAGTGGATTACTGATAAGTCTTAAAAGTTCAATTTGTACATGGTTCAAAATGCGTAAGCTATGCATAAACGGTGGGTGAGAAAATGTAACAAGCGGCACCAATGAAGTAGTAGGCACTAAATGGTACATTTACATGTAATGGCAAAGTAATGCTGCATGTGCGTTAACATCATAGCCTTAAGAAAACGCTGCAACATGTCAAACCCTGACAACTATCACAGACTGTAAAATGGGCTTTAAAGTTGCCCAGCAGACAAAAGAAAGGGTTATGTCCTTTTCTGAAACCTCGACATATAGAAGGCACAGTCTGGGCAGTACACGGTAGGTGGGGACACAGACTTCTTGTGACACAGATTGCAAGGAACTTGAGAATTATTGTCCGAATCCACCACCACCGCATCCACTTGGTAAGCACTGTCACACGAGTCCGAAGAGTGCACAGAGTTCAAGTCCTCGGACTGACACAAGTCCTGACATTCCTTGGAGTCCTGCTTGGCTGCGTGCTGTCTGTACACACGTTCAAGCAGCGGATTCGGCAGATAGTCGCTCTCTTCTTCCTCGGCACAAGCAACTAAGACGACCTCGTCCGAAAACGTGACGCACTTCTTCAACGCGGCCTTGCGCTTTTTGTTGAGTTCCGGCACTTGCTGCTGCTGTTGCGAGGGTTGCTGGGGATGTGCCCCCTCTGGCACAGACTTGGCTGAGAGCTTCAGGCAGTCGGGAGAGGCTGTCCTTTGCCTCTCCTTCATCATTTCGAGCCTCTGAAGCGCGGTCTCGTAGTCGGGAGGCCTCGTGGGCCGCTTCGAAGAGTCCGAGTTAGCGGGGGACACTGAACGCAGGACTGCGTCGCTTGGTGGTAACTGGGCTTGTCTGCTGTGGTCCGCCTGCAGAGCTTGGACAGCCTGCGGTATCCTCACCGCAACGAACGCCCTGGTTTCGGTTCCGTCGGGAGACTTCACATACTGGAACGCCTTCCCATACTGTTGTTGTGGGTGCTGGCACTTTGCCAAGAAGTTTGGCTTCTGGTCGTAACTTGCGGTAACTCCGTGCATCTGGACGTGAGCTGCCATTTGCATGGCTACTTGCTGGTTGACGGACGGATGATACGGTGGATGATGTGGCGTGCAGAGCGAGGAGTTTGTGAATGGAGGAGACTGATGTGCAGGGTTATGGTAATTCAGAGGCATGGCAGGGTGTTGTGGATGGGACGAGTGCACCGGAACGACGGGCGCAACTGCCTGCTGATAGCTGGAAACAAATGGCGGCTGATGAAGTGCTCGTGGCAAGCTGTTTATGTTGGATGATGGCACTGATGACTGGGGAAAATGTGACGTGGGAACACATTTGGTCTGCAGCTCAACATCTACTGATGGTAGGCAAGTAACTGGAAAGTCCCTTCTTCCTATGCCACTTGTTGATGATGAATTTGCATTTGGGGACTGGTGAAGGGATTCCTTTGGTTCAGAGCCGCTTGCTGCTGGATTGGACAGATGTTCACCAGAGGGTGGCTGGATGTCTTGGCTCATTTTCATTGTGAGGTCGTCGGGAATGATGGGCCTCTCTGGATCCAGCATGGCAGGTTTAAGAATTTTTTCAAACCGCGATGCCAGGTCCTTCACAGATCTGGGTTTCACTTCCTCTGACTCGGACTCTTGTCGTGGAGGCACGTCCGGGATCTGTCGAGGCATGGCTTGGGTTTGGGAGGCACTGTTTGCTCTGTCAGCTTGGAGTACCTGTTAAATGAGTAAACATTTTCATTAGCTGTCTGAACAAACACCTTCAGCCGCTTTTTCTTTGCAAAAAATTACTGCCTTAAAATATCTATAACACATCAAGCTTTATTAGTTGGAGGACAAACAGCAAGAAATTTCAGGTTCAACATACTTCCTTGACAAATTGGAACGTGCTGGTAATGTTACAAAAATTAATGGAATGCAGCAAAAAGGACAAAGACGGGGGATCTGTCTCTTACCATCTTAGTACTGTTTGTTGCTTTCTGTTTGTTTTTAAAAAAAACTATACTATAAGAATATTTTGTCATAAAAAGTCATATGCTGCAGTACCGAGGTGTAGACGTTGAGAAGTGTGGTCGACCTTATGATAGGCAATTCGGCCAATGCAGTATCTACTGAGGCTTTTGAATGCCCATTATGCAGTAGTAGTATTACACAACTGCATGCCTTTATGATGGTCATTTAGTCTATTAAAACTGGCAGAGATATCTTGTCTTCCATTTTTAGTACTTTTAGAATGCAGCTCTTAGGCACTTGTTTTTGGCTTGAGCGGCGTCGCCGTCGGCGTAATTGCGCGGTGCATTATGGGAAATGTCCCATAATGCACCGCGCAGGACCCTCGTGACGTCGTTTCCCATGATGTCATGCGTGGGGCAGGAGGAGGGGAGGAGCTTGAAGGATGGGGGAAGGAGGAGGGGTATACCCTCCCTTCAGTACCCTTCTTTCCTCCTCCTCAAGAGCTGCACTCTAACTCGGGGTTACAGGGAGTTGTAAACGTCTTTCATTTTTATTAGGTAAGCTAGATATACTTCAGAAGTACCATGGCTCACCACTTTGGTTTTTACTGGAGAAGCAGGCCTGGGAAGAGACTGCTGGAAGGCTTGTGCCAAGGCTGAAAGAGATGGAAATAAATATTACTCACTGACAAATTAAGTGTGTTGTTGGGGCATTCCAGATCTTGGAGGAAAAAAAAATTATGTGAAAGGGACCTGACAGGGAATAATCTAGGTGGTTAAAGCGACATTAAACACCTGAAGTGATCATTTTTATCCTGAGCATTTTTACTTCCAAAGAAAGAACATGTGGGTGTGAAGCAAAAATGTCTTGTAGCATTGATGCTGAACCATTGATAAGTGATAAAGTAAGTGAATTGCGGCGCATATCATATATCTGGCAGAGCTTCACGGATAGTGAACAAAATGCATTAAGATATACAAAGGCCCTAAAATATACAAAAGGAATACAAAACGTTTTATTAAAGAATTAAAAAAAATTTATAGAAAATTCAAACCAGTTCCCCACAGTATAGTGGCAAAGATGATAGATCGAAAACAGCTGTTGCAGCATTCTTTGCTGATCCGTATTTCCAATTCTTCCCACAAAATATTAGGATGCATGAGCAGTTAAAGAGACTTGCCAGCCAGTGCTTGCTCTTTGGTAGTCCCATTGTCTTCTGGCCGGTCACTTCTCCTGAGCATTGACATCTGCTTGGACTGCAGCTCCCGAAGCCAGCTGTTTTCAGCAGAAGCCTGGTCAATCTCTGGATGAAACGCACCTTGACCGTAGGCCTCGCTGCTTAGCTTTCTTGCACTTTCTGTTGCCTTGGGTACTGTGCTCAGGATCTGCGTCCTTTTGATCTGAAGTTCCCGCAGAAAACAGTTGGCTTCCAGTGCCGTTTCAATTTCTTCGTCCAGCTGACTGGGAAGTGGACTGGGCGGAGGAGGAAACTCGTTGCTGCTCAAGCTCCCTCTTGGCTGTTCGGCAACCTTATCACGTTTGGTGCAAACCGCCGAGTGCTGATGAAGGGCAGCAGCATAGCCGGCCGGCTCGTAGAGGTCGCTATGCTCGACCTTTGGGCTGTGCTTGAACTTGATGGGGCTCGGGCTTCTGGCCACTTCGACATGAGGAGGGTCCACTTTAGTCAGAAGTGGCCGCTGTGACAGTGCCCGATTGACAAAGGCACGATGCGGCTGGTGGAATCCACGGCTGTTGATGGTCGCAGAATGGTCTTCCCTCCCGTCGGCATCGTCATCATGGCACGGTTTTGGAGCAACCCCGCCGGGCGAGTCGAAGATTACGTTGTCGTCCAGGGCCCTCGACTCCGTCTGTGGGGCATCCTTGTTTTCGCGGAGGTCTGGCAGGCTCCGGTTCTTGCGCCTCATGAAGCCACCCATCAGCTTCCTTCTGATCTTGTGCTGCTTCTTCGCGGAGGCCGAAGACCCCGAAGCGTTGGCATTGTCCTCTTCGTCGCGATTCTTCATCCCCGCCGGGTTGGACAGAGTACGATGCAGGGCGGGCTTCCTTGCATGCTCCCACTCGCTCGAGTAGTCGCTGAACTCGGAGTCTTTCGACCGCATGGTGCTTGCCTTGCTCAGGCTGCTCGTCCCGTCTCTGATCTTCGACCTGGAGTTGACGGGGTACTCGCCGTCGGACATCACCCTCGCAGAATCGTCCTTGCCACTGCTGTTCTGCCACTGCTTAGAGAGGAAATCCTTGTAGATCTCAACGTCTTCCCTGAGGCGAACCGACATCTGCGAGAGGAGGGCACCGCTCTTCTTCTTTGAGCCTTTCTTGGGGAGAGTTGCGTAGATCTCTATGTTCTTTACTGGCCTGTCGGAGCATTCCACGATTGTCCCGCCCGAGCTGTCTCTGCTGCCCTGGCGAGCGTGCTGGCCCTCCTTCTGGCTCTGGCGGCTGTGGGTGCTGTCGCGGCTGCCCTGTCGACTGTGGTGGACGTCATGGCCGCTCGACTCCTTGATTCGGCGACGCTCCTCCATCTCGGCTTCCTTGATCCGCTTGCAGAGGGCAGAAGACCTCATGATGCAGGTGCTGTGCTTCATTTTGGCAGCGACCAGAGACTGGGTATTGCTGTACGGAGCATCCATGGCAAGCCTTGCTTTGGCTGTAAAAAATAAATACAATGATCTAGAAGTTGACTAAAGAATGTTAGTCGTTCACAGCAGTGTAACCCCGTCCAGATTAGCTTCTTTGATATTACGCAGGTAAAGGTGCTGCCAGCATATTTTTTGTCCAAATACAGTGCAAATAATGCAGAGCCCATTGAATCCAAGTATTCAATGCTTAACACACACTTTATGAAGCAATCAGAAAAGAGAGGTTATGCCTACCATTCCTCTTAATATATTTCTACACTCGGTCATGATGCTTACCTGCAGCAGATTCACAGAAGAAACAAGCCAAGGGAAGGTCTCCAGCCTGCTCCTTTTCATAGGACTTCTTCAGGAAAAGCTCAGCCTGAGCACAGAGCTTGTCACAGTCTCCTGAAGCACCTGCATGAAAGCCGCAAGTTTTTTTTTTTGTAAGCTTTCTTTTTAGGCCTACTACCAACAGTGTGTGTCGGCCAATCGTCCAATGATTAAATAAAAGTATAGCCTTAATGTTGTCATCTTACCTTCGTATTTGCTCCCAATGACATCCTCATCAAAGACTGTATCAGATGCAGAGTCACTCCCTTGCAGAAGTGAGTTGTGAATGGCACTTTCCAAGCTGTCTGGAATCTGTGTGGCTTCTGGAATTTTCTTTAAGCGTGGGTCCAGCTTGGCTGGGGATCCGGGGAGACCGACAGAAGGGTAGCTGTCGGTGCTGGATAGGGAGTAGGAATCGTAGCCCTGGTCTGCAAACACTCCCACGTTCATGTACTCGTGCTTGGAGAAATTGTTCACCGTGCGGCCAGGACTTCCACACGCCCTGCAATGAAAAGAATGCATTTGGCAATGTAGCATTTGCAAGCGTTATGAACATGTAACAAGAGGTTAGCTATCCTTTGTAAGTGCTAAAAAAATATTTGCTTATTTTAAATTAAATCTGATTAATGTTAAGGCTACAAATAAACGATCCCTAGTGTGCTTGCATGTGCACATTTTTTTTTATTAAAATGAGTCTCTGTGAAAAATAAAACGTAATTTGCCAGAAGTATATTTAGACGAGGGTGTCGAACCGAACCCGAATCGACAACCCGATCAAAACCATTATTTTTGGCCAAACCGGTACAAAACCCAAACCGAAATCGAACGCTTCATATTGAACCCGAACCGGAACGAAACCATAATTTGATGTGGCGGTTACCGGTTCAACAAAAGCGGTTCAGGGCCACTTTTGTCAATAATTGATCTTATTGAGAAAAGTTGCAGGCATATTTCTTTCTTAAATTGCCTAGACTAATCCTAGATACTGTCGGATATTTGTACCTTTTGTGTTTATTGCATATGAAATAAAAAATGCATCATCATCAAAAGCAGAGACACAAAGGGAGCGCGTGGTCAGCCAGCTTGCTCAGTTGCCGCATTTATTTTGGCATCTGGAGAGCTTCAACTTTTCTTTGTTTCTTGGATTGACCCTGGCAGCGCGGTAGCGGCGGCGGCGATTTCAAAGTTCCGCCGCTTGGCCGCTTAGCCGCAGCCCAGAAGCCCGCGAGAGATACAACGAAGTTGCTTCAGCGTAAAGAAAGGTGGCCTCTCGAGGTTAACCGCAGCGACAGTGCGTGCTCACGTGCCCGGTCATTGAAACATCGGTCAGACTGGCCGATGTATACACAACCACAGCTTAACGGGATTCGATAAGCTACCCCAACTCCGCACACGACGTACCAGTTTCTGCGTTTTACCTTTTATGTCACATTTTTTTCCTGTCGTTCCCCTGCCAGCCACTCTGGGCAAAGCTGCGACATCTTACCGGGCTTTGAAAACAGGTACCATGTCTAAAAAAACACGTGTGTGAAGAGCAAAAGAAAAAAAAAACATATATAGAAGGCAAACAACCCAGCTAGAGACCTTTTTACTGTTTACAAAATCACATCTCAGCGTGTGATCTTCACAGCCTAGCACGCGCACGTTCATTGCTTCGGAAAGCGAACAAAGCACTCGCTATACGCACAAACATAAAAGATGGCCCCGGCCACAAGCTCTCTTTCCCGAAATGACGCCCTCTTCTGGCAAATTTTGAAGTATTGCACAGCTGCGTGTGAAAAAGACACCATAAAAATGGAAAGCCGATCGCTTATATATAGTTCACTTAAGAAGAGTATTACACAAGTAATAGCCTGGCACGTCACTGTGCAGGGTTTTCAGATCTGCCTGAAAAGGGAGTGGTTTTGGGATAGGTCTATTGCAAGCATCTCTGCTCACAAAAGGCTGCAGGAATTGCTCGGTCAATATTCAAAGCTCGAGTTAGGAACCGGTTCGAACCGGTTCTCGCTTATTAAAACCGGTAACCGGAGTGATATTATTGTGCTACCCTAAACCGGAACCGAACCAGAACAAAATAGAATGCTACTGAACCCGAACCGAATCGAAATAATGACCGATCCAACACCCTGATTTAGACTGTTTTTTTTAGAAATAAAAATGTGGATTATTGAGCATATAAACTAGAGAAATACCACCATTCACTTAGTTTTCTGTGAATTTCATGAACTGCTAATGAATGTTAGACAAATAAATGATCTATATACTAATTTAATACTATAAGCAAACCATTAGCCTGTTACACATAGCAGTGAAGTTTTGTTAACATAAATTAAGTTAGAAAGTGGCACTGCAAAATTTGCAGGATGTAAAGTTCACAATAGACTATAATTTACTATATGACCCCGTATATTGTGCATCAAACTCTTGCTTATAATCCGATTTCAGAAAAAAAAATTTTTTTTTATACAATTAAGGGTGTGACAGTTATGAATGTAGTATCTTATGAAAATCAATGCATATCTAGACCTGAATGGGTCTAGATAGGATGTCAACAAGCCTTTCGGACATTAGACAGAAATGGGAGCCCTGCAGGATCCTCACCTCTTGGCTCCAGCAATGTAGTAGTAAGACCCATCCAGGGACGTACTGCTCGCAGAGCTGGCACTGTTCCGATCTCCGCTCCAATTTCCTGAGTCCCTCCGCCGGCACGCCCCATCAGGGCAGTCGGAACCTTTGTCTCTCATCTGAAGAGAGTTCTCGAAGGACTCCAAACTGCTGCTACTGTTCCGACTGCCTGGAACCACGGTTCCGTTGACGCCATTCAGAGACCGCTGTCTCTGCAGGCGCTGAAGGTTCAGCACGCTCTCCACAGCTTGTCGGCTGATGTACGTGTTGTTGAGCTCGGCCTCCAGGGCAGCTTCGGTGCTTCCTCGCCTAACCAACCGCCGCAGGGTGTCGGAAGGGCGCTTGAACTCTACGTCGGAGCTGTTGCTGCAAGATGGCTCGGACGGATGCTCCGACATGATGGACGTGTCCGAGTAGGTCCGCATTCTGGGCTTTGGGTACTGGTTCTGCGCCGAGTGAAGTTGAGGACCCATGCCGTTGTGCCGGGTGTCGTGCGCCGAACGTCCTCCCATGTTGATGCTCTTGTAGGCCTTCTTGCCATGCATGCCGCTGCCGCGCGTCCACTGAGAACTGTCGCCGACACCTCCCGAAGTGGCACACGGATGGAACGATTCGGTGTTCTGCGCAGACTGTTGGCCGTAGTGGTGCTTCTCATGGTGCACCTTCTTGGGTTCCGTCTGCTTCCCTGACAGATGGAAAAGAAGACAGTGTTGGAGAACAATGGGAATAATTTTCTGCTGTGGTTGGATGGCAAAGATCCCTTTCAAGATTGCTTATGAAGAGGTGTGCTTACTCTTGTGCTCCGTCATGTAGTGGATCACTGTAGTTGGGGCATTGGCCGTGCACACAGGTGATCCGCTTGGATTGGCATAGAGGAGGAGCAAAGGCTGGAAGTGTCCCCTGCGGCACTTGTCCACTACTTGCTGCCAGTGAGGGCCAATCTGCAAAGGCAGCAACATTGCAAAGACCTTTAAATATGCAATTATATAGCCTTGCATCTAACCCCTACTGTGTTGATACTCCCTCTTTTTGAGATCATTGTCTTGGTTTCCTTTTTTTGTATATATAAGCCATTCTGTATGTTCCCTGTCTCAAGTCATCCTGTCTCAAATCATTTTTACAAAATAATTTTCAATTCATTTAGGACAAAATTTTCAGCGCAAAGTTTGTTACAGTTAAGGTTTTAAGTAGCACTACAATCTTCATTTGTTATTGTGGTGAACACAAATATATTAATGAGTAATTGTATCTGGTATTTTATATTGTATAGTTTTATTAAATATAATTTCTTTTAGAATAATAAATTGAATAATTAAAAGGAAAGCTGGCATTCCAATTCAAACTCGATGTGAGGTAAAATATTGAGTTTCTTCCTACTTCCCCAACAATGAGGATAGCATAGAAAGAAAACAAAGGAGTGAGAAAGGGAAAAAATCTAAAAGATAAAGAAGTGCACGGTGTACATTGGCCTTCACGCCTCTCTTCTGTTCATTGCATTTCAAACATCTGCATGACTAATACTACTTTAAGTGCCAATAGAAAAGGGTTAAAGATTTTGTTACCACAAGGGATGCTGAAAACGTCAAGGAAGTGGAGGAGTTCGCTTACCTCTCTGACAGTGGCATCATCGAAGTAGATCCAGACGCAGAGTTTCGTGTGGAAGAAGAATGTGGAATAGTGTTTGCCGTAGTAGGTGACAATGCCAACGAGATGATGAGTCACTGAGGCCGCCCACCTATCAACCACTGTATGAAACATCTGAAAGAAATAATTTTATTTTAATATTGGAACCATTCATACAATACCGGCAATCCTACATCACCCTGTTCAACACTACTGGATCAATCGCCAAATCACCTCATTCATGTTGATGGTCATCCCGATGGTATCCAGAACATCTATGATGTGGTCTACGCTGGGTCTTTCAGAATCCCACACCAAGCCTAGGCTCACTGTAGAAAAACACACAACAAAATAGGGGTATGTATGAAACGATTCCAAAAACAAAGACAACACAATGATATGTAGGGCTTTCCTGGAAGGACTGGCTTACCTATGTCAGGGCTGTTCATGAGGGTCTTGCATATTTGTATCTTAGCACCACAAGAACTCTGGAACAACAATGGACAGAGAATCAGAGATGGGCTTCTAGGGGTTTCTTGTACCTCCTTGAGGTGCAGAAATATTTTCAACAAACAATTGTATAATTGCGATGAATAGAAAGTCTCTTACCGGACAGTCCCTGATGTCTCCCATGCCTCCAGCTCGTCTCAACAGCTCTCCGAAAGAAACTGGCTTCTGTTCCTTGCCATGGCTGATGGAGGCCTGCAGGCTGAAATTGTAGTAAATTGAATAGCTGCTCACACAAATCAATTCGAGTTGAACACTCAAGTTAGCATAATACATAGGTGCATTAGTGTATTGCTTATGCCTCACCATAGCGCTGACGCAGAGACATAGTGGACCATCTGAGTGAAAGGCAGTGGCTCCGAGGACGCCCCACAGACATGGCAGACTGTCTGAAAATTTGGTAAAGAAAAAATGCTGTAACAACGCTTATTTCTATCAATAATGATATTGATGGCATAATAAAGAGTTTATGCACAGATAAATAGAGAATGTCATAATTAATGCTGTTTACCTGCTCAACTAAAGTCATTGCAAACTTCTGGTGTGGTATGCAGTGGTTGACACTGCACATGTCCTCCACCTCTTGGCTCGCGATATGGAAGTGGATGCGCTGAAGGATGTTTTCCTGCATACACAGAAAAAGAGACAAATATTAAATCTCAAACTTGATCTCGTACCAATAACGCACACTAAAATTATCGACTTTCTTAAAAACCTTACCCCGAGGTATGCAAAGTTGGGCTTCAGCGCAATACACGCGTGCTCGTGTGTTCCGCCGTGAAGCCGAACTCCCGTAATGCTGTCTAGGCGTACTGGCTGATGTTCGTATGAATATTATTTACTAGGCAATTGCACTCATTATTAGTCTCTTCTTAAGTGAAACATCTTTTACAGCGAAGCCGTCTATAGCCTAGTTCACATGCAGCGGTTTTGGCCCTAGAGCGGCGCGATTTCTGCCGTCGCGGCGCTCTGGCCAGCACCAGCAATTCTGCGGCACGAGCGCCGCGACGGCAGAAATCGCGCCGCTTTAGGCCAAAATCGCTGCATGTGAAACACGCTTATGGCTAGGTTCCGGCAGATCGTCTCCGGGGTCAGACCAGGCGTAGACCAACAATTTTGTACAGTTAATGCTGCAGACGCCGGCGCCGCACGCGCGCGCCTTCGCCGTATAAAAGATTCGAAGTAAATAACGAAAATAAAGCGTTGACGAACGCGCGTGCAAGATGCCATTTCTTTTAGGCTTTTGCTTTAGAACAGTTGAGCGTGAAATACATGTGCGACGAAACCGTCCGATTCGACGTCCGATCGCTGCTTCGACTCGCCACAAACAACCTCCGAGACAATGGTTCCGATCGGCTCCGACCGGTTCCGTGACCAGTGCGTGTTGCCTGACTTCCTACGATCGCCCTTCCGCTGAATAGAGAATACTGTACGCCGCGACAACTTTTCTTGGTAATGCAGTGGAAGCTTGTACAGGCACTCGTTCCCTTTCCCATTTTTAGCGCTGAATAAAGCTGTGTGCGGGCTCTCCTCCTCCCCGGAAATGCCAAGAAAAGGAAGAGAGACTCGCAACCGGATCCTTGCTCATAGCGCGCTTCCCAAAACGTGACGTCCTCATGACGTTCCCGCTACAAAACGTGACGTCATTGGCTGCGACCATTTGACCACCGCAACCACCTCTGGACAGTCGCATTGCCTCTGGACGACCAAACAAGCCGCGTCCGACCGTCGCATTGCCTGATCAGACGTCGGATCGGACGGTTTCGTCGCACATGTGTTTCGCGCTTTAATGCTGCAGACGCCGGCGCCACACGCGCGCGCCTTCCCCACGCGCGGCGTCTCTCTCCCCCCTGACATATCACAATGCCGCGCGCTCTTCGGCGGCCACCTGTGCGGCGCACTAGAGTCTACGCCGTGACTGGCGTAGCCACGCTACAATGAAACGTCATTGTCTCTACCCACCAATCGTGTTAGTCCTTTGCCTGTGACGTAGAGATCGCACCACTGGCCTTATCACTTGAACTTCAGACTATAGAGCAGCGGGAGTACGAGGTGAAACCGCCGTTGTCGCTACTCCCAGCCCGACCTAGCAAATCCCACCAGAGCGCCAGCTTCGCTGGACTTCCCTCTTCACGGGGTGGAAGGGCTTTCAATTTGTCTTCTATTTATTTATTTTATACACCTTAGCTGCGAACATCTTGTCGATTTCAAGAAGAGAATTCACACTATTGTAAAAGGAATACCTTTCAAGACCTAATTATTCTGCAACGTCTCTCAGCTAGCCTTGACCATTTCTCACTTTTACATAAGATCCTCTAGCAGGTTTTGTTTTATATTATGTTTTATCGAAACCAATTAGGATTTTTGCGCGAAACACTAACAAATTGTATTATATGCGATACACATACAAGGCTATTTTAATCACAGTGTGTAATTCTATTCCCGGGGAAAGCAACAACAAGAATATTTCAGTGTCCATTTCTACTTCTAAAACCCCGGAATTTTATTGTAATTTATTTATTCGGTGATAAAGTGAGCCTTATAGTTCCATTACATTGCTGTCACACCTACTTGTCGAGCAAAAAAGAAAAAAAAAAAGACAACAAACAAAGTCTAAGCAGAAAAAAAAAAAGCGAGGAAGACTACGCGCAAGCAAAGCTTACAAAGCATTCAGCGGCATCATCCATGAAGCCCAATTGGAACCTCCTCTGGTCAAAGAACGTCTCTGCAAGCGCCCGCCGCAAGGCGTCCGGCGGGAGCGCAGATTCTTGGCTGTACTGGAACTGGGCGAAAAGCTCCTGCAAAAAAAAAAAAAAAAAAAAAGAGCAAGGTCTTATGGTTAGAAGGGTAGGGTTCACGGTTACCACACCTTAAAATCTAATAAAAGCTGCGTTCTTTATGGCGCACGACAATTTTCTTATTGCAGATGATTAGAGAATGTTGTTTACGAATATTCAACTTTCAATGGGTCACGTACCTTGAGCGCACAAAAAATGCAGGATTCGGCCATGCAGATGTGTCCACTCAGCTCTCGGAAACTTCTTCTGAAGATGTCCAGGTGCCATAACACCTGTCAAGGAAAAGAAGATGACTCTTTATCATTTGACTGATTATACGCGGGAAAATATTCTAGAAAATAGGTCAGGCAATCAAGGCAACAGAAGGTCAAGTGCTAAGCTTTGGCATGGTAAACTATGAAGAAAGAAAGAAAAAAAAAAATCGTAGATTGTGCCAAGACTGGGAAACTCGTTGGAAAGTCCATTTGAGTAGTTTTGCAGCAACTAAGGGTTTCTTTACTCCACGCTTTCCGAGGCGACGTAAGGAAGTATTCGTTTTATGCTGTGGCGGGCGTTTCTAAACTCTGGACAAAACGTGACAACAGCTCGGATACACCGCCATACGCGACCAGTTCTGTTTCCATTGTGAATTCTTCCCCGATTTACGGTAAGAGTTTGAGAAGAGACAAAAAAAAAAAAAAAGTCTTCGTTTCTCTTGCGTGGCGCCACAGACAAAAAGCCTCGTGTGTAGCAGTCACGACTTTGCATTTTGTCGGGAGGCAAACGACGTGTACGGTGTGTCCGTGGTCCGTTCCGTCCAGCGTGCGGCGAGAGAGAAGCAGCGTCTAGCGCGGGCGAGGCACGACTGCGGTCGCATTCGGCCCTTGCGTCTTCCAAGAATGATTCTCTCGCAGCATAAGAGTGAAGCAACTCGACAAGACTCATCATCCTAAACTCATCCCCTGGCCACCTGCAGTTTTCAGAGCCGCGGCTGGTTGTGGACAACGTAATCGTCGTTTCCAGATACAAAAGCTCCCACAATCGCAAGAAAAGAAAGGAAACATGAAATACAAATGGCGCGGCATCGTAGAGGACAGGTAAGACCACCAAAGATGCTATTCCCTGCAGGAGAGAGAGAGAGAGAAAAAGAGGGGGGAAGCAGTGAGCTGGGTTATTTGCCCAATGCGGCCGACTGGCACGTCTGCTGCGCGTTGATGTCTCAATCCAGGCGGCTTGAGCACAGGGGCAAGTGTAAGGGGGGGACATGAAACACACGCACATACAAAGCTGGCCGTAGGCAGCACAGTGGCCGGCGTTGTTTGTGTATCACATGTGCGTCGACCCAGCTACTACCACTGGCGGCGGCGTCGGTGGCGGCGATGGGGGAGGCAAGGGGAATACGTGAGGAAGGACCGCCGTGATGCCTGGGGGGCATCGGTGCGTCGTCTCTTGCGTGGCGCGTGCGTCTGTGCTGCCCGCCCCAATGGCCTCCGGGGGGAAGTTGTAATTATGGGGTCGGCCTTGCAGCCTCTGCAGGTCCTCTGCGGCGTCGCCGCTTAGTGGGCGAGGGCGGGACAGTGGGAGAGGACGCGCGCGGGGCACATCTTGGGTCTGGGGGGTGCAGGTTCCACAAGTGCAGCCAGCGCAGGTGGACATAAATTAAGGCACTGATTTTTATTGTTTTAATACATGTACTTGTTTTTAGCAGGGCGTGATGTTTTCGCTACTTGTGCATCAGAACTCCTTGCGCTGGAAATATTTTTTTTTTTTTTTTTTTTTACTTCGTGCAAGTGTTTTAGAGCTACGCGTTTGCTAGCGGGAGCTCGTGCCGTGAAGCATGGATGAGAGCACGCGCCCGCTGGGCCCGCTCTCGCGGCGCAGTCTACTAAAACTCTCTCGTGGCGAGCTCGAAGGGGGCGATGAAGAATGAGTAGCGCTTCTGTTTTCTCCTCGAGGCCGCCCTTACAACGTTTCCGCTGCCACCGCACGTGACTGAGTAAAGAAGAACACTCAAACGCCGGCAGCAGAGCCTCGAAAGATAGGTCGCGTTTGTGTTTCGCCCCTGAATTTCTCTCGCTCCGCGTTGAATGCAAGAACTTCGTGCACCCCGACTACCAAAGTTGCTCCGGAGGATCTTCGATCTCGTGTTTGTTGGTCCGTCGGTGCCGGTCCGTTTACCCGAACCGCCATTCGCAGGTAACGCGGCATCCGGCAGCGTGATCTCACCATCATCATCTTCTCTGAGAAGAAAACGTCCCGTTTTCTTTCTGGTTCGTAAGAAAAGTCCTTCCGCGCCATGTTCACGGGGCCACGCTCGAGAGCCGGATCCCGAAGTCGCATTCATCGGGCAACATATCGGAGGCGGCGTGTAAGGTAGACAGTGCCCTAGTCGCCTTCCTGGTACTGAAAGCACCACAAGGGCAGAAGGCAGGCTGGGGAGGCCCTCCTGGGACGCTGCAGGAGAGAAGGCGTCCTCTCCAGGGCGTCTCTCTCCAGCAGCTCCCGAACAAGAGACGCGCACTTTGTGAGACGGTCCCTCCTTGCGGTAACCCGTCGTGGGTCACCTGGAAGCCCCCCCTCGGGGTTCTCCTTGCAGTCCAGGAAGGGAGGGAGATTAGGGGAGACGATGGCGTCCCCTCCTCTGGGAGGAGGAAGCTCAGCCTCTGAGCACGCCGATGCACGAGGCGCGAGGAGGGGAACCTGTTTTCCTTCAATCTGCCTTCAATCGCTCTCTTTCCATCTTTCGTTCGCTACGGCGGGAGAAGAAAGCGGCCGCGCAGCACGGAACCGAGCGTCTTGGCCGCCATGTTTCTTCGGAGTCCCCGTGCCGTTGTCCAGATGCTACGCTGCCGCCGCCGCGGAGCCGGCCAAAACACCCACTTCTCGGGGGTGCAGAGGGACGATGCTGCTTCTCTCGCAAGCGAAGCATGGGGATTTTGTTTTCGTTATCTTTTGCTCCCTGTTTACTTCTTTTCATGTCAGTAACTGAAGTCATGTGGAGATCGGCCGCATTTTTCTCCCCCGCTTCTCCAAAAAGCGTAACACCTTGCCATACTAGGCTCGAGAAACTTTATTTGGCGCGCTCTGTTTCCTTGTCTCGTATGTGATCCCGAGGATGCATAAGATTTTAGTTAGTCAATTAAAATAAGTTGTGGAACCAACGAACGCAAACTCCGTGTATTAAACCGGTGATGCATCTGGATCGAAGCTCACGTTAAAGTTTTTCGAACACTCGTGAAGCATTTTGCGCAGGAAAAGAGCTCCTGATGAAATTAGCGTCCCTGCAGAGAAGCCCACCTGTCGAGAACCCGAAACGGACGACGCTGAAGACGAGTCCAAGTGTCTTCGGAGAAATCAGATATCGCGAAGGTCATCGCTTAAGTATTTGTATTGTCATTTTCCATGAAAAACCTTTATTTTTATTTTTATTTTATTTGTTGTGGCGATTGCAGATCGCCCGCACTTGATCGATGGAGTTATCTCCAACCTGCAGTTTCCTTGAAGCGGTTGCAGCGTACGAAGCACACTACCATTCGTTTGACAAGGCGATATCGATTAAGTGGAGAAGTACGCACAAGTTGAACATGTCGCATTTTGTTCGATTAGGCCGACAATATAATTTCAAGCTAAAAAAGAAAAAGGAAGAAAAAAACAAAAAAACTCTAGGTATAAAGAGGTGCGAAAGTGAACTTCCCAAAGCCTCAGAAAGAACTGGCCTCATATGTGCAGTCACGGACCGTCTGCTTTCTGACAACACGACGGCAGCGGGGATTGCTGCCCAGCGCTTGATTTAATTTGGGTTCATTCATGCTTGCAATTAAGACGTTTTGCTATTTTCTGTGAGCACTCTCCCTTTCAGTGCAGTCTATTCGCCTCTTTCACGCCTTCACTCCAACGCTGTAGTACCACTCAGTGGCAGATTATAAACAAAAATGTGTGTCGCTTTGGTTGTTTAAAATCCACGTTATTGTTGATGTTGGTTTTACAGGGATTATCGAATTTCTATATTTCCTTACTATACTTGGCTTGACATTAAAAGCGCATCGTTACGGCGGTCGTCTTTTTTGTGTACTTGATATCACAAGCTATACCAATCACTCGGAGGACAAAAAAAAAGTGCAGAAACACGGAGCATTTATTGCGCGAGAATGGTTTAGCCGGTAGGTTACAGTTCCTTGCGCGGGGGCGTCTGCCACGGGAGGAAAGTAAACGGGCAATGTCCCTAATCGACAAGAAGGGCCTTCGCTGCCGCTTCTCTAGAAAAAGAACTCACCGACCATAATGCGAATGTGATATTAAAACATAGTAATAAAACAAACGGCCACGCCGGGGGGCACACCTTATAGGAAACCACGCACGCGATCTTATCCCAACCTTATCTCGCCTCCTCACCGTTCCCTCGGTAGATTATGGGCGCCTCCGCATGGCCTGGTGTACCGGACCGATCGTCAACGTGAAAGATGAGGCTGTCCGTGTCAATTATTTATTTTTATTTTGTTAATTGAGTCGAGTGACCAGCGGGAGGCGAGCGTAGGATGTTCGGGCACGGGGCAGTCGCGTGGGGACGTCGCGTGGATGCAGCGTCCCACGACTTTAAAAGCGCTCCGTCCGTCGTACACACGAAGGTCGTCGCTTCAGAGAGAACGGACGACGGCCCCGCACGGGCGCTCTGATTTGTGGCATGGACCTCTCCTCCCTGAGGACGAAGGCCTTCTTCGGAGACTCGTGGGCTTCGCCACCGTCGCCGCTGTCGCTGATGACGAGCGTGGGACTCGCCCGAACAGCGCAGCGCGAAAAACTATCCACCCAGACATTTCAGGAGCCAATTATTGCGGATGCCAAACGAACTTGCGGTCTGCTTTTCCATGGAGGTAATTATCTGAAGGGAATCGGAAAACTCATCCGCTATTGCGTCCTTGGTTGCAGACTGTAAATGGGCAATTCTACCAGAGAGAGAGAGAGAGAGTATCGTGCCATGGTCTCATCTATCCTAGCTTACAGCGGTTCAGACCGTCATATGGAAGCAAGTTTATAGGCTCTCTGGGCTGTGCTCATGTCAAATGTGATGCTTCAGTGCTAAAAAAACGTCTACCGTTTTCCACGTACCTTCTTCGTAATTCGCACGTTATTATAGTGACGTTCCATATTCTACTTAGATGTAGTACTGCTATTGGTCAACAGAATTACTCGGCGCTTACAAGTCACCATAGTGTGGGACAACGAATAAACGAGCTAAGGTGAGATGAACATGGATTATATGAAACGGCCGATCCGTCATACGACGTGTCGAAGC